GATTTGCTTTTCTCCTTTTTTCTTGCAGGAGCTGCTGCTCAAGAGGTTATCAAAATAATCACCAAGCAATTTGTAATTTTTAATAATACTTACATTTATAGTGGCATGTCACAAACTTCAGCAACTTTTCAGTTGTAGAATAAGTACCCTATAGTGTGTTAAAATGACTGAAACTTGTTTTCAGGTTGTGCTCTAGTCTGTCAAGTTCTGCTGGGGAGAATTGTTAAATTGTTTCCTTAATAAACATTTTTCTCATTTGTAATAATGTAATCTTGTTCTTTGGGGGGCAGGTGGGGAGCTGAGGTGGAGAGGAAGGAGACAATTCTCTCAGAATAAAAGTTATCCATTCCTAATTGAGTTCATTATTTCTGGCTTGCTATTTCAAAGTTACTTATAGAAATGTGTTAACATTAGAAACAGCTTAAAATACTTTTTTCTTAGGCTTAAATAATGAATTTAAGGCATGTGCAGATTTAAGCTGTGGAGATCTTAGTACCCATCACTATTTGCTAAAACTAATACAATTTAAAGAAAACAAGTATTTCAAATGTATAGTTTTATCAGAAAACAAAAACAGGCTACAAAAGGGAGGGAGAGGGAAGGTTGGAAGAGAGGAATGAAGGCAGGGCTTGGGGCTCCTAGGGCCTAGTCTTAGTCCCCACGTCTGCATACACCTGCCCCAAGGCCTCAGCGACTCTACAGCCAGTTCTGAGTCCTTGAGGCAGACGCCCCTTTAAGGAAAGAAAGCCCTTTACTTGGAGAGCGGCGAGGTTAGAGGAGTTCCCCTTTCACGTTGTGACTTTCCACCACTTAAACAGGCACACAGTTACTAAACCCCGGCCCTTTGGAATGCTGGTGACCGGCTGCGCGCGTTAGACTCCGAATAGGGGCGGGGTGGCCGGAAGTCCCGCCCTGCGGAAGTGCGTGCGCCCTCTCGGCGGGAAACCGGGTCCGGCGTCGAACTAGGCGCACGTCGAGGGAGAAAGGGCGAAACCCAACGCGCTGCGACTTAAGGGTAAAGGCCACAGCCTCCACTCTCTGCGCCTTGGGGCCCTTAGCTCCTCCTGGGAACCCGCCCGTCGCTTCCTGTGGAATGTCTGGGATGCGGCACACCTCTCCTTAACCTTCTTAACAGACCCACAAGGGGGGATGGAATGAGTTGGAGGGAAGGGGCCTGCCAGAGGAGGCGGCCTTCCCCGGCCGCGGCCCCCACAGGGAAAAAGAACTGTCACGTACCACTTAGGAGGCTAGACCCTAGCAGTTTTCGGCCCGATAGTACTTCAGAATCCCCGGGCGTCTCCCCAGGTTATTCTGATACATGAAGGAGGTGTGCGCTGCTGCGGAGGTCGCTTTTCAGGTCGGGTGTGGGTCCCTGTGTCCTACATCACCTGAGGGGGAAGGCATGTGAAAGGGGCTGATTTTCAGACCCACCCACTATCCTATGGGTGAATCGCAAGTGGTGGGGCCGGCCTCAGGCTGCTAACCAGCGCCCCGCTCACTGCAGGAGTTGGAGAATCCTGTTCTAAGAAAGAAAGCCCCGAGGGACCACTTATGCTCTTCAGAAGGAGTTCCTCCAGTTATTTAGGTGAGCCAGGCCAGCGGGGGTTAAGGAGCGCCAATTGACGGAACAGGGTGGTTTGCCCTCCTTCCTGGGAAAGACGTCTATCAGTTACCCAGTTACCCGTGGAAACTGGGATGAGGTGATGCGGATGGATGCCGACCATCCTCCAGGCTCCTGAGGCTGGGAGTGCCGATGTTGTAGTGAAATGGCTTCTGGTACTGGCAACCTGTTTCTGGACCGGATCGATTGTTATTTCTCAACCTAAACTATTGTAAGGGAAAGTTTAACATTAGTTGCATATTGGCCCTTTCTCCCCTGCCTCGCCTGCTGAGAGGAATGTTTCCCCGCGGGATGAGTCCAAGCTAGGGATCCACTGTCAGCTACTTAGTGGTGGCATTTATTGTGGGATTCTCACCCCTGCCAGCCTTATCCACAGAATGATGTCATTTATCTTTCTAATATTTTCGGGGTGCTATTTAGATTTCAAGAAGCTTTTCATGGTAACATATTCTAGACCACATAAACAAGTAGTGTTCAGTTCCTTTACTTGCTTAAATTTTAATTTGAGTTTGGGGAATTGAGTGAAACCTGTTAGTAGGATAGTTTCTTTCTGGTACCTGGGGGGTGATCGGGGAAAGAATCCCTTTTTTCCTCTTGTGAGAATACAGTAAATAATTTTGAAATCTTGTTCATGACAGTTTGCATCTATTCACTAAGTTCTGAAAATACTTAACAATATGCTTTATTGGGGCAGGTGCTTTTGTTCTTGGGAATATACTGTATTTTATACTTTAAAATTAATTTATAATTATTAATCACTTGAAAGTTATAACTTATCCTTTGCTGTGGATGTTTTTAAGTATGTAGCAAGTAAATATAATGACTTGTTTTTAATGTTACTAGATATTTGGCAAACTTTATCTTATTTTACTGTGTAACTATTAAAAATGGTATAAAAAAGACAGGGGAATAGAAGGTAGTTTGTGTTGTTAGTTTCAATTTAAAAGTTATATCCCTCTTTAATAATGAAAATCTTATTAAAAAGCAGATTGACTAATTAAAATGAAGGAACGAGTCCTTAAACTCTCACAAAGCAAAAACCTCCATGTATGATACAATGGACTATTTTTTTAGCAGAAGTATTTTTAATTGGAAGATAATTACTTTACAATGCTGTGTTGGTTTCTGTCATAGGATAGCATGAATCAGCCATAAATATACGTATGTCCTCCCTTTTGAACCTCCCTCTCACCCCTACTCCATCCCACCCTTCTAGGTTGTCACAGAGCACCTGGTTGAGCTCCTTGTGCTTTACAGCATCTTTCCACTAGCTTTCTGTTTTATACATGGTAATGTATATGTTTCAGTGTTACTCTCTCAATTCATCCCACCTTCTCCTTCCCCACTGAATAGACTAATTTTTCAACAGATTGTTTTTTAATCTAGTGTTTTTCCAAATCTTAACCCATTTGTTCATAGGCAATTCAACCTTTAGAAAAGAATGAAAATTTTCCTGTATACGTTTATGTATATATAGTATGTCTGTTTATAACATGTCTCCAAATTATATGTAGGAAACAGAGTAACGGATAAGAGTGTAGCCCTTACCTCAGTTTTCTTGATTCTCATTTCAGCTCTGTCACTGACTAGCTCTTTGAACTTGGACAAATTGTTTACTTTCTCCTCATCTATCTTTATCCTTGTAGCTCCCTTGCAGGGTTGCTGTAAAGACTAAAAATAATAATGTTTATAAGATTTATAGGGGTTTGCAGGGCCTGACCTACCACTGGACTTGCTGAACATTAGAAGCTTCTCTTACAAAACGTGTGAAAAATGAAAAACAGTGAAATAAAACACTACCAGCTAAAGACAAGAAGTGTTAGTATGTTGCTGTTTTCCATCAAATTTTATATTTGCCTCTAGATAATTGGGGTCATACTGTAGATAAAATTTTGAGTCTTGCTATGTTTTATTATACTGTAACATAAGCATTTTTCTGTGTTATCAAACATTTCAAGTAAATGTCAATATTCTTGTAACAATATCGTATCCTGTGGATATACTATGGTGTACCTACCCATTCCTTTTTTAATGGAATATTTACGTTAAGAAACTGGCAAAACTAGTGAACGTGTGTGTGCATGTATACTAAGTCACTTTCGTCACATCCAACTCTGTGTGACCTTGTGGACTGTAGCATGCCAGGCTCCCCTGTCCATGGGATTCTCCAGGTAAAAATACTGGAGTGGATCGCCATGCCCTCTTCCAGGTGGTCTTCCTGACCCAGGGATTGAACCCATGTCTCTTACATCTCCTGCATTGGCAGGCGTGGGGTCCATGGGGTCACAAAGAACTGGACATGACTGAGCAAGTGAACTGATTGGCAGGCAGGTTCTTCACTGCCAGCACCACCTGGGAAGTCCCCAGTAAATGTGTGTATATTATTTTATAAAAGATTTGCATATTTATCATTAAATTTTTTGTTGTGAATTTTAATTTTGAGAGTAAGAATGAACAATAGAATAATTGTCTCCCTTTAACTACATAGTATTGGGGTAAATAAGAATTTTTGAGTTCTGTGAGTCCTGATTTATTGTTCTAAGAAGTTGACTGGACTCTGATATATTTTTCTAAAAAAATCAGCTTAGCATTTTAAAGTAAAGAATGTGAGAGGCCATATTAGGGTTTCCAGTTATTTTTAAAATTCTTCTAATGAATGATGTATAAACAAAGATTTAAGCTTGAAAGAAAAAAAAAGTTGTTAGAAAAAAATTTTAGTATTAAGCTAAGCTTGTGAAGAGAAACGCACATCTAAAGAGTGTGTGAGTATTTGTGTTTTAAACCTCTGATTCATGGAGGGTGCCCAATCTGAAATGATGGGATGAAAATTTACAGAAAAGAAAATAAGGAAGGAGGAGCAGAGCAGTTAGATTCAATCAATAATTCATGTGTTTGTTTAATAAAACCTATTGAATGCCTGTAGTACGTAAGAATGTGAGGTGCATTCATGTATGTTTTCAATTTTAATTCTTGTAACAACTCTATGAAGTTGGAAATTTCTATTTTATAGATGAGGAAACTAAGCCACAGAGAACTTAAGTCTAATATCTAGTAAGTTTCAGGGGCTTTCCTGGTGGCTCAGTGGTAAAGAATATGCCCTGCCAATTCAGGAGATGTGGGTTTGATCCCTGGGTCAGGAAGATCTGCTGCAGAAGGAAATGGCAACCCAATTCAGTATTCTTGCCTGGGAAATCCCATGGACAGAGAAGCCTGGCAGGCTACAGTTCATGGGGTCGCAAAGAGTCAGACACTACTAAGCACACATGTTCTTTTCCTACTCCTTTGCATACTGTACTTCTGTAATTCTCAAAATAGATTTAAATTGAGAGAATACCTTTATCTTATAGATGAAATATAAGGAAAAAGAATGCAGACAAGCATGGAAAGTGAGGACACAAAGAAAACACAAGGTGAGAAATTTATGGATCATATATCTGGGATTTGTTTTTTAGTCTATTTGTGGAATACACCACAGATTATCTGACAGGCTCCAGGAATTGAAAGAATTATTCACTAATTTACATAAGTATTTATTAAACATCTAGTCTGTACCAGTCACACTGACTTTAGGAAACTGACATTCTAATGGGAGATGGCATGCTGATAATTAGAATACCATATGATAGCTGATTCAATGGAGGTGTATGTAAGAACAGTGGAAACCTGAGAGGACCACCAGCAAATTTCAGAGCTGTCTTCAGAAAAATGGAAATTTAACTCATGGACATGGAAGAGGTTAACCAGAGAGGAAAGACTAAAATATAATAGGATGGGAAATAGTACTCCCTGATGGACCCCATCACATCAGGGTTTGGCTGAGGAAGGACCAGCCCCCCCCCCCCCCCAAAAAAAAAAAAAGACTAAGAAAAACATTTCAGAAAGGTAAAGAGACAGGAATGTGGTATTTTGGAAATTAGCCTTATGAGAATGCTTTGAGAAAGGCATTCTCATTTACCCTCATTACCCAAGAGGCTCAGTCTTAAATGTCACAGATGATGACTGAAGTATCTGCTGGCCTTTTCATTTGTTTTGTTAATAGTAAACTTAATAGATTTCAGCCAGATTGCAGTATATTGAGGTCTGGGTGGGAAATAATCTGGAGACAGTATGAATAGCTTGGTGGTGATTGTTTAGTTGCTAAGTCATGTCCAACTCTTTGCAGCCCCATGGACTGTAGCCTGCCAGGCTCCTCTGTGGGATTTCCCAGGCAAGAATACTGGAGGGAGTGGGTTGCCATTTGCTCCTCTAGAGGATCTTCCTGACCCAGGGATCAAACTCATGTCTCCTACATTGCAGGCAGATTCTTTACCATTGAGGCACCAGAGATTCCCATGAATAGCTTGCTCTTCTTCAGAGCTTATCTGAAGATATATGGCAGTAACTAGAGGGAGGTTGTAATGTTAAGGATCTTATAAGAGGTACAGAGATAAGAGAATTTGTGAAGGGACTTTCCTGGTGGTCTAGTGGTTAAGACTTCACACTTCCACTCTAGGGGGTCTGGGTTCTCTCCCTGGTCAGGGAACTAGATTCTACATGCTGCACTGAGTTTGCATGCCACAACTAACAAGATCCTGCATGCTGCACCTGAAAAGACCCCTCATACTCCAACTAAAAGATTCCACATTCCAAATGAAGGTAGGAGGTCCTTCATGCCACAACTAAGATGTGGCACAGCTGAATATATATATATGTATATTTTACGTTTTATAGTTTCAGATTTTACATTTAGAACTACAATCTATTTTAAGTTAGTTTTTGTATACAGTGTGAATAATGGATTCAAGTTTTGTTTTATTGTCTTTTTGAATATGATTATCCAGTTGTTCCAACACCATTTGTTGAAAAGGCTATGCTTTCTTCTCTACATTGCTTTTGTAAAAAAAAAAAAAAACAGCCACTCATATATATGGGTTTATTTTTGTACTATATTCTGTTTCATTTATCTGTTTATCTGTTGATGCCATACTATACTCTTGATTACTATAGGTTTGTATTAAGTCTTGAAATTAAAGAGAGTTGAGTCTTCATCTTTACTCTTCTCTTTCAGAATTGTTTGGCTATTCCAGGTCCTTTGCCTTTCCGTATGAATTTAAATCAGCTTGTCAGTTTGTACCAAAATAGCCTGTTGGGATTGCATTGAATCTCTAGATCAATTTGGGGGAGAATTGACATCTTAACAGTATTTAATCTTCTGACCCATGAACAAGGTGTATCACTTCCTTTATTTCCGTCTTCTTTAATACCTCACAATATTTTTTAGTTTTTAGTGTGTATGTAATTCACATCTTTTGCTAGTAAAATTTCTTTTTCTTTTTCTTTGGCCACACCTTGTGCAGGATCCTAGTTCCCTAACCAGAGATTGAACCTGTGCCACCTGCAGTGCAAGCACAGAGTCTTAACCCCCGTACCACCAGGGAACTTCCAGTATTTCATATTTTTTATGCCATTTTAATTGGCATTGGTTTTGAATTTCAATTTCTAATTATTTATTGCTGGTATATAGAAATGTTACTGATTTTTGCATGTTAGATGGATATTCTGAAACCTTACTATACTCACTTATTAGTTCAGTAGCTATTTTGTAGATTCCATCAGATTATATACATAGAAGGCCATGTCGTATGTGAATACTGATAGTTTTATTACTTCCTTCCAAATTTGGATGCCTTTTCTTTTTTCTTACCTGATGGCACTGGCTAGGCTCTCTAGTACAATGATAAATGGAATGTTAAATAGAATGACACTGGCTAGCTTCTCCAGTACAATGTTAAACATCTCTGTGGAGAAAAAATTCATTCTTTCTCTGCTAAGTATGGTATTTACTGTAGGGTTTTTGGTAGATATACTTCATCAGGTTGAGGAGGTTCCTTTCTGTTTCAAGTCTGATGAATTATTTTTTAGATCAGAAATGAAATTTTACTTTATCAAATGCTTTTTTTGCATATACTGAGATGATGTATTCTGTTTTAGTTTGTTGTATTACATTGACTGATTTTTAAAATTATAAACTAATCCTGCATTCCTGGGATAAACTCACTTGGTCATGATGCATTATAATTTTAATTTATTTTTGAATTCAACTTGTTAAAATTGTTTAGACATTTTTTGCATGTATGTTTGTGAGAGATATTGGTCTGTAGTTTTCTTTTTTCCTTTCTAATGACTTAGTTTTAATATTAGAATGAAGAACTAATACTTTCCAAAAATAGATGGGGAAACAGTGGAAACAGTGCTGACTTTATTTTTCTGGGCTCCAAAATCACTGCAGATGGTGATTGCAGCCATGAAATTAAAAGACGCTTACTCCTTGGGAAGGAAAGTTATGACCAACTTAGATAGCATATTAAAAAGCAGAGACATTACTTTGCCAACAAAGGTCCGTCTAGTCAAAGATATGTTTTTTCCAGTGGTCATGTATGGATGTGAGAGTTGGACTATAAAGAAAGCTGAGCACTGAAGAATTGATGCTTTTGAACTGTGGTGTTGGAGAAGACTCTTGAGAGTCCCTTGGACTGCAAGGAGATCCAACCAGTCCATCCTAAAGGAGATTAGTCCTGGGTGTTCATTGGAAGGGCTGATGCTGAAGCTGAAACTCCAATACTTTGGCCACCTGATGCGAAGAGCTGACTCATTTGAAAAGACCCTGATGCTGGGAAAGATTGAAGGCAGGAGCAGAAGGGCACGACAGAGGATGAGATGGTTGGATGGCATCACCAACTCAATGGACATGGGTTTGGGTGGACTCCGGGAGTTGGTGATGGACAGGGAGGCCTGGCGTGCTGCGGTTCATGGGGTCACAAAGAGTTGGACACGACTGAGCGTCTGAACTGAACTGAACTGAACTGAAAATAAGTTGTAAAGTATTATTTCTCTTGAAACTTTTTGGAAAAAACTTTGTGTAGAATTGACATTATTTCTTCCTTAAATGTAGGGAAGAATTTACAGATGAAGCCATCTGAACCTGGGGTTTTCTTTATAGAAAGGTTTTAAACTATGATTTCAATCTATTTCATACACACACACACACACACACACACACATATATAATATTTATTTCTTCTTGGGCAAGTTTTGGTTAATTTGTTTCTTTGAAGCAACTTGTCCATTCACCTAAATCACTGAATCTGTAGGTATGAAGTTGTACATGACCATTATTATCTTTTGAATATCTTTAGAATCTATGTTGATGCATCTGTCTTAGTCTGATATTGGTGATTTTTGTCTTTGCTCTTTTTTTTCCCTGATCAGTTTGTCTAGGGGTTTGTTGGTTTTACTGATCTCCTCAAAGACCCCGCTCTGTAGTTCAGCTTGGATCTTTATGATTTCCTTCCTTCTGCTTATGCTGGTTTAATTTACTCTTTCGCTAGTTTCTTTAAGGTGGAAGCTGAGATCATTAATATGTGACTTTCTTCTTTTATAATGTAGACATTTAGCATTACACATTTCTCCTAAACACTGATTTAGTAGCATCACACAAATTCTTTTTTTTGGAGGGGTGTATGCTGCATATCTTGTGGGATCTTAGTTCCCCAACCAGGGATCAAACCCAGGCCCCAGCACTGAAAGTGCTAAGTCTTAACTACTGAACCACCAGGCAATTAGTACATCCCACCAATTCTAATATACTGTATTTCATTTTCATTCAGTTCATTCTAAATAAATATTTAAACCAAAGTAGCTTTAATTCAAGAGAATAATGCTTGTATTTTCTTTTCCTATATTTTGTGTGTGAAGAAAATCAAATAATTATAAGAAGCTCATTTCAAGTTGTTTTATTTAAGGAGCATCTTTCTTTACATATTTTTATTCCTTGTTAGATTTTTTAAAAGTAATACATGTTATTTAAAAAACAAAAATATGTATTTTGAGGGTGAGACTTAAATGATTAGTTTTTGAAAGGAAATGTTTAAAATAATGAAATTTTTGTTCTTTAGAAGTGAAGACTGACCTGAACTTATTATTGGAGTGTCTGAAGTATCAAATGGACAATGCTTTTTCACAAAAGGAAGCTTTGGTCACTATTCATTCAATTTGCCAACAAAACAGTAAGACATGCTAGTGAAATTTTGTTTGTGATTCTTTTTAATATTGTGATGTATGCGTTGTTCTTTCAATGCTTATTATGAAGTATGCATTGTTCTTTCTCTTCTATTCAGTTACTTTATATGTTGTTATGTTCATGTGATTTATTGTCCTTAAAAGAATAATTATAATAAATATCCTTCTTTGTTTTGTCTGCACATTTTACAGGTGATGCAGGTCTTTATTTTCGGGAAATTGGTGGTTTGATGTTTGTAAAAAATCTTGCAAAGTCAAGTGAACATAGTATGGTAAAAGAAGCAGCCTTATATACATTAGGAGCTGTTGCAGAACAAAATGGTAAAATATGAAAACTTTATTTCACTGTCCTAAGCATTGTGTTTTACTTTAACAAACTATTGAAATGTAATTTTAGAATTAAATTTTTTACATGTCTGGATAGTTTTATCCAAGTGTTTTATTTAAATTAATGCATGCCAAAGATTTTAACTTTTTAACTGACGAGGGAAGCAGTAAAATGTTACAGCTGCTTCAAAAGTAATGGCAAAAAACAGTGCTGTAGGCATTTGAGAAAGCTGAATTTTATGAACAGGTACATAACTAGTCAGTGTCTGCAGGTCAAAGATCAATTGCATTCTACTGGTCAAAATGTTTTCATTTCTGCGGACAAGAATAACTTGTGTCACTATCAGTTTTCTAGAGTTATGAATTAGCCCAAAGACAGTAAAAAGCACAAATAATCTAGGAAGAAGGCTAGACAGGATGTTCAGTACTTGTTATCATCCATTTCGAAATCTTTCACCGTTTTTTTCTTGCCATTAGTTGGAAACATTTTTTTAACTTTGTCTTTTACTATGCTTATCCTTTTTTTTTTTTTTTGGCCATACAAAAGTTTTTTTATTTTTATAAAAATAAATTCATCATTCTTTTCCTTTCTTGTTTCTGAATTTTGAATCAGAGGAAGTTTTCCCATATTCCCAGGTTATAAAGGAATCCACTCACATTTTCTTTTGGTACTTGTATGACTTTATTTTTTACTTTTGCATGTTTTATTCTTTTTGAATTTTCCTGGGGTATGAGATGATGAATGGTTCCAGTTTTATGTGGCAATCCAGCTATCCCAACACTTCTTATTGTAAAGTAGATCTTTTTCACATTGATTTGAGATGCAGCCACTATCACTTAATGAGTCTATCTCTAGTTTTTCTATTCTGTTCATTGTCTGTATATCCGGGTACTTGAATCAGAATATTAAGGTAACCCACAACCATCTTGTATGTGGATAAAGATGTTTTGGGTGCTTGGCCACTCAGTTGTGTCCAACTCTTTGCAACCCCATGGATTGTTTCCTGCCAACTCCTCTGTCCATGGGATTCTCCAGGCAAGAACACTGGAATGGGTTGCCATTTTCTTCTCCATGTTTTGGGTGTGGCTGACAAAAATATTTTTTCTGTAGTGTACCTGAAATGAAGTTAAATCTAAATCATGTTTATCAAATAACTTTATATTCTTGTATTTTCATCCATTAACTTCATCACTTGTTTTGAGAATAAGTTATGCTCTAGGCACTGGGGATAAATAAGACATTGTCTTTGCCTTTGAGAGTGTCTAAAAACTGTTCTAGACCCTGGATATATGTGTTCAAATTATTTTTTACAATACTGCTTATTGCATGATTATCACAAAAGAACCCCTCCTTATCAGGTAGGTATCATTTTTGCTTTTTGAAAAGATATTTTTATATCTAGAAGAGTCTTTAAAAATAGCACAACTATCATTTACCCCTCTTTTCTAAAGCAGGTTTCTGAATTTTCTTAAATTTTTCTTTGGCTACATTTTATTACTTATCCTCAAATTTTCGGTCATGTTTTATCCCAAATTTTTGTTAGGCTTAATTTTGAAGTTTAGTGACTGAAAATTCTATGAGATTGCAATACATGCTTTAGAACTAGGTCAAGTACTTCTGATTAAGATACTGCTTCTTTGGTCTGTTAATTGAGTAAGCACTTAAATTTGTCAAAATTTGCTATATGACTGATGAATGTCAGTGAAATGAGACTTGGTTGAGAACCATCCATAATGGCAATTTTATATTTTTTTCAGCATATTTTAAAACTTGTTTGTGCTAATACATAGAAATTAAAATTATATTTTCATGTTTCAGTTTACTGTCAGCAGACTTTGTGTACTTCAGAATTGTTTGAAGACTTAACTTGGTTCTTATCTAACAGTGATTCAAACACAAATCTGAAAAGAATGTCTGTCTATGTTATTTTGGTTCTGGTTTCAAATAACAGTAAGTACATTCTCTTATGTTATAGAAATATTTTTAAAAATAATAAATTGGAACAGACATTATTAATCATTTTATTCTAGTCAGTGCCTTTTAAAACTTTACTAACTTCTTACTCCTGGCTCTAAAGACAATATAGCATGATTTTAATTATTTGGTATTTATTAATTAAAAAAATAGTAAAGTGATTTGTATTATTTAACTAGCATTGCAAAGGAATGGCATTAAAAGCAAAAGAGAAGCATTTAATGAATTATTGTTGTTTTGACACTAAGTCATGGCCAACTCTTTTGTGACCCCATGGACTGTAGCCTACCAGGCTTCTCTGTCCAGGGGATTTCCCAGGCAAGAATACTGGAGTGGGTTGCCATTTCCTTCTCCAGATCTTCCTGACCCAGGGATCGAACCCACGTCTCCTGCATTGGCAGGCAGATTCTTTACTGCTGAGCCACCAGGGAAGCCCCATTTAATGAATTAGTTTGGTTGATTTTCCATTGAATTGGCCATTCAGTTATCATCATATTTAAGGTCATTTTATCAGTCAGCAATGACCTTAAATTTCATGTAGCTCTTGGCTAAAGTTTTACTTTGCTTTTGTTGATTTTAGGTTTTATTTTGGAATAATCTTAGCTTCACAAAAAAGTTGCAAAGATAGTATATAGAGTGTTCCTGTATACCTCTTGCTCAGGCTAAAGGCTATTTTTTTGTTGCTTTATTTAGATCTTCAAATTGTTAGAAATTTTATATGCATTTAAATGCTTCTAGATTTTATTTTTTCAGTTTTTAATATTTTAAATTATTTTTTTCTATTTTGGAGCATATTTTGGTACTATAACACAGAACTATGCAAAATAAATGTTTTGTGATTTTTAGAGGAAATTTGAATACTGTCATTCTCTAAGCATAAGTAATATATTTTCCATAATAATCTTGATTATAAATTTTTACCTACTGTAATTCTGTATTGTACTTTATAATACTTTAAAGTGACGAAAGTTATTTATTAAAAGTACTGCTTAAATGTTGTTTTCCATTTGTGCAAAATTATTTTCTAAACAGAAATCTTTCATGTAATACATGGCAATTTTTTTAAGGGACTGGACAGACACTTGTGAGAGAAACAGGTTGTATTTCAGTTCTATCACAGTTGTTCAAGTAAGTAAAAAGATGTTTCTTATTATTAGTTATTCATAACTTAATACCTTAACACATATGTATTAATTACTTTCTTTACTCTTTAACCTGATAGGACTGTTCTTTCAAAATATGAGTTGAATTTGTCAGATGAAAGTGCTTTGCAGAGTTATCAGTTGTGGTCTTCAGTGTGTAGTACTCTGTGTGTCTGTGTCAACAATCCTCAAAATGGTAATTATATCAAATATTTAAATACTAAAAAAAGACTAAAATAAAAAGCTGATATTTTCCAAGTATACTAAAATATGGTTGCCTTTATCCCTTTCAGATGAAAATCAAATGCTTTGCTGCTCACTTTTTACGCATGCTAATGACTGGCTGATAAATTGCATGAAAGCTGAGATAATTCGCCCTATTTGCTCATTTATTGGACTCACTCTTGCAAATAACAGTAAGTATTCATTATTCTCCAGGCTTTATTTGAGATAACCTATTGAATTTCAAAGCATAACCTACTGAATTAATTAATGAATTCCAGTAAATTGTGTCATTTTGGATACATTTTACTATTATATAAGTTAAAATCTTATACATAGAAAAACATAGCAAAACTATAAAAACCCACATAGAGTGTTATCTGAAAAAATTAGAAATTAATAAAAATAAAACATGTAGAAAAGTCCCTAATATCTAGAAATTAAGCAACAAAATACTAAAAACCCACATCAAAACAAAAACACAAACCTATGAGTCAAAAAAATTACAAAGGAAATTAGAAATGTTTTTAACTTAATGATGATGAAAACAATATTTTTAGATGGAAATTTATAGCAGTAAGGCTTGCATAGGAAAGAAGAAAGGTCCCAAATCAATTATATTAGTTTCCACCTAAGAAACTAAATAATAAAACAAGTTAAAGTCAATGTAAGTATAAGAAAGGGAATAATAAAGAGAGGATTAGCAATCAATGAAATATAAAAAGAACAGAATAGAGAAATCGATTAAACCAAAAACTAGATCTTTGAAAAGATCAGTAAAATGGATCCTTTACCCAGACTAATCACGAAATAGAGAGAAGGCCCAAATTATGAGGAATATAGCTTTATGCCACCAAATTAGATAACATAAATGAACTGGACAAATTCTTTGAAAGACAAGCTACAAAAGCTCACTCAAGAAGAAATGTATAACCTGAGTATTCAGTATCTAACGGAAAAATTGAATTTGTAGTTTAAAACCTTAACACAGAGGAAATTCTAGGTCATAAAGGCTTCACTGGTAAATTCTACCAAACATTTAAGAGTTCTACATAAATTATTCCAGGAAGTAGAAGTAGAAGAAACACTTCCCAACAAACTTTTAAGGCCAGCGTTATTTCCATACTAAAGCTTGAAAAAGGCATTATAAGAAAACTATATGCCAATATCCTACATATATACAGATATAAACATCCTTAACAAGATATTAACAAATCAAGCCAGCAAAATATAGAAAGGATGATGTATTCTGATTAGGTGACATTCATTTTAGGAATGCAAGGTTGGTTTAACATTAGGAAATTCACAATATTCATAGACTAGAAAAGAAAAACTATATGATCTTCAAAGATGTAGGAAAAGCTTTTCATGTAATTTAACATACATTCATGACAAAAGATTTTGGTGAGCTAGGAACAGAAGGGAACTTTCTCAATGTGAAGGGCCTCTACAAAATATTATAGCTAATGCTTAAATGGTGAAGGACTTAATGCTTTTCCCCTAAGATTGGAAAGAAGACAAGGATGGCCACTGTCTTTATTTAACTGGACATCCAAGTCAGTGCAATAAGGCAAGAAAATGAAATAAAAGACATAGAGATTGAAAAGGAGGAAGAAACTATAGTACTTATTCATAGATGACCTGATTGTATAAAGAATCTACAAAAAGCTACAAAACTAATAAGTGATTTTAGCAAAGTTGCAGGATACAAGGTCACATGGAGACAATTAGGAACTTCAAGTGACTATCATTTATGATAATATAAAAAACTCAAAATACTTAGGGATATATTTATTGAAATATGTGGAATGTCTATATGCTGAAAACTACAAAACATTGCTGAGATTAAAAGAAATTAAAACTTAATGGGAGAGATATACTCATGGATTGTAAGATTCAATATTGTCATAATGTCACTTCTCAAATTTGTCTCTAAATTCATAGCATTCCCTATCAAAATCTCAGCAGGCTTTTCTGTAGAAATTGACAAGTTGACTCTAAAATTTACATGGAAATGCAAAGGGGCTAGGATAGTAAAATTTATTTGAAAAAGGACAAAATTGTAGAATTTATTTTACCTGATTTCAATATGTACTATACAGTAATCAACAGTGTAGTACTGGTGTAAGTGTAGGTATAGATCAATGGGATAAAATAGAGAGCCTAAAAATAGACACACACACACATATGGTTGATTTTCTACGAAGGTGCCATGGTAACTCTGTGTTGGAAAATGTAGTATTTAAAAAAAATGATGCTGGTAAAAGTATTTACCTATCTGTGAAATATGAATATCAACCCTTACCTTACACAGTATGAAGTGTTAGTTGCTCAATCGTTTCCGATTCTTTGCGACTCTATTGACTGTAGCCCGCCAGGCTCCTCTGTCCATAGAATTCTCCAGGCAAGGATGCTGGAGTGGGTTGTCATTCCCTTCTCCAGGGAATCTTCCCAATTTGGGGATTGAACCTGGGTCTCCTGCACTGCAGGCAGATTCTTTACCATCTGAGCCACTAGGGAAGCTGGTATACAAAATTAACACAATATACAAAAATTAAATGATCCATTACCTCAATATAAGAAACTATAAAACTTCTAGACAAAAACAGGAGCAAATCTTTATAATTTGGGAGTAGACACACATTTCTTAGAACACAAAAAACATGAGCCACCAAAGAAAAAAATTATCATTTGGAGTTCACTGAAATAAAAATGTTTTATTCTTCAGAAGTTTCTGTTAAGGCGAAAAGGCAAGCCATTGACTGGGAGAAAATATTTGTGAAATGTACATCTGATAAAGAACTTGTGCCCAGGAAAACCCCAAGGAAATATCACTATACACCCATTAGCATGACTAAAAGTAAAAAGGCTAGTGACATTAAATATTGAGTGGAACAACTAGAACTTTCTCACACATTGTTGGTGGTATATCTATATTCAGATATTTAAAGCAAATAGTTGTCTTTCACATGCTCATGTGCAAAGGAACATATCTCTATATAATTTCAAAAATTGAAACCTATTTCTGTGATGCTTTGACATTTCCTCTTTGTTTAAATACCAACTTAAATGAATAATACATATAGGACCTTATTACTCTCAGCAGACTGGTATGAAATAGATTAGAGGCATCATCAACTTAATAGACATGAGTCTGAGCAAACTCTGGGAGATAGTGGAGGACAGGTAAGCATGGCGTGCTGCAGTCTATGGGGTCTCAAAGAGTTGGACACGACTTAGTGATTGAACAACAATTTTAAATACTGTGTACAAGTGTAGACTAGGATGTTCTGCTTATAAGTCTGATTTTTCATTACATAGAATATAATTGAAAATACTTTTTAGTAAAGAAACCTATTTTGGCATCCCTGTAATACTGAAAATGTTTGAATGAATGAATGAAAGCCGGTTAATCGTGTCCAACTCTTTGCCACCAGTCGCGTCCGACTCTTTGCAGGATTATAGCCTACCAGGCTTCTCTGTCCATGGAATTTTCCAGGCAAGAATACTGGAGTGGGTTGCCGTTTTCTTTTCCAGGGAATCTTCCTGACTCAGGGGTAGAACCCGGGTCTCCCACACTGCAGGCAGATTCTTTACAATCTAAGCCATAGGGAAACTGGAGAAACTGAAAATGTTTACATATCCTTAAATAACATTTTCTAACAGTCTGTTCCCAGATGTAGAGATTTTTTAACATGATTTTTTTTAGATTAAGAGCTTTGTGTTTTATTAATTTTAATATAAAAAGTACTTTTTATGTTTAAATCATCCTGGCTCAATTTGTGGTTCTACGGTAGACCGGGAAGAAGGTTTATCACAGAATTATAATCATTAGCCCATATATCCATTTGTTATATGTCCCCTGCTGGGATAGGGGCTATAGAGACTGTTGAATGCACAGACCCATGGGGTACTTTCCCATCAGAATCATTTTCAACAGGGGAATAAAAGACTGAAGCCTTTTAAAAAATGTATCTGTCATTGAATCTTTGCTTGGAATAGTTGTTAGGACTCTCAGTAATATGTTATACTCTTATGCTCTAAGAAGTAAAAGAATTAGGCTTACTTAAATAAGATGGATGAAATATGTGAGTTTTTTTTTGAAACAGTTAAATTACTTTTTTGTTGATTTAGCCAATCTGAGGAATGAGTTATTTTGGAATTCAGAAAATAGGCAGCTTGCTAGTTGTAATACCAAGCTAAACGAATGAATCTATAGCTCTTGTAGGACTTGAGTTTAATATCATTCTTGCAGATTTACCAGTTCTTGATCAATGAAATGAGATGTCTAACATACAAGAAAGTAGTACTGTACTATACATATGGTTGTACTATGTTGAAATGAGTTTCTTATATAAGTAAATAGAATCAATCTTGTGATTATGTATACGCACAGGTAAGGATTCGATTTTTCATTCTTTAATTTTGGGATTTTTAGTAAGTATTTTTAAAAGTCAAGTTAATGTTATATTTAGTACAAGTTAATTTAATGAAACCATATACTTGTCTTATTTGAAGTATTAATAGTTCTGCTACTTTATTCCTTAAGCTTATGTTCAGAAATACTTTATATCTGTGGGTGGACTGGATGTATTGTCTCAAGTTCTTGTGCAACTGGAATCTGATTCACACAAGACTCCTTTCAGTGCTAAGCTTGCAGTGGTGGTGACAAAGACAGTGGATGCATGCATTGCTGATAATCGTGAGTGAAAATGCTTAGTAATTTTTCCACAGTTGGATTTTGTTTGAATTCAGCATGGTGAGTGTTGAAATGGTAGATTGAACACAAACATGGATTGGAGTTCTAGTTTCACGTAAGTGGGAGAGAAACTTAGAAATTATCTAGTCCAACTCCTTATTTTCTCATGGAGGTTATGACGTCCCTAAGGATTCAAATCTAGGTCTTCTGATTTCAGGTTTGATGACAGAATCAAGAGAAGAGTCTGTCAGTCCTAAATCTGTTTCACTTAAAAAGCAGCATTAAATGAAAAAGATTAGATGAGAAATCAAGGGACATTTTGGAGACATAGGGAATGGAAAGCCCAATTTATAGATTTTTTAAAATGAGATAAAGAATTAAGGTATGCCTCTATCCAGTAAGTATGAGATGGACTTATCCTAACACAACTAGTGAGTGGCTGAACCAGACTAGAACTCATGGCTATAGATTTTCAAAAATGACTTGAAGAATTAAGGTATGCCTCTTATCTGGTAAGTATGAGTTGGACTTATCCTACCATAATGAGTGAGTGGCCGAACCAGACTAGAACTCATGGCTGTTTCTCACATGTACAAATACTGAAGAATGATAGTCCACAAATCTTTGTAATAAGCAGTTCTTGACATTCATGAATAACTGAAAAAACATGGTAGATCATTTTTTAAAAATTCAGTTATGTGCTAGGCTCTATGTAAGCTCTAGAGATAAAAAAATGATTATGACATAGTCCTCTGAGGAATTCACAACCTTTTTGTTGCTATCAGGACTGTTAGACTCTGAACTCTGTTTTTAAAAACTGCAAAAAAAAACACAGCCCATGAGAAGTGTAGTTTAAAACGGTAAACTTCTTGAATTTTTCACATCTCAGTATAGATTCAAGTATGCTTCACTGCATCATTAACATCAATAGAACCATGACCAGTTAGTAGTGTATTTCAATGACAGGCAGGAATTGATTACATAGGAAGGTCTATACTGTCAGTCTAGATAAGACAAGGTATATAAGATGAGAGCAAGCAGCTTTTAGGGAAGGTAGTATTATTACTTCATATTCATAACACTATATAGGACAACCTAGCAGAAAGCATTCTTCAAAAAATTTGCTTTAGTATAATGTGTTTAGTATGGGAAGAGGAATTAATGAGAGCTTTATAAGCCTCCATCTTATTATAATGCATTTGTTTATAGTCATACATATATATTGCATGTTATATGAGATGTGAATTTTAGATACTATGTAGATATATAATATCATTCTCCCAGGATAAGATATGAAAAATAGTATATGTAATATCTGGAAAATATGTTTAGGTAGGGATAAGTTGTAAGCTTGTACTTGTTCTTTTTTTTTCCCCTTTTTAAGCTACTTTTGGTGTTGTATTATCCAAGTACCACATTGTTTCAAAACTTCTGGCATTGCTGCTTCTTGACAGTCTGGATTCAGGAGAAAAATTTAGTGTCATACTTACGCTTGGTCATTGTACAGAGGATTGTGGTAAGTACTGGATTTACTTAGCATGTTTATTAAAACAGTAGAGTGGAAATACACTGTTATTTCCTCCCCAGCTTAAAAGTACTGTTGCCTTTCTCCTAGTCCCTCAGCCAGTCATTGGGCCTCATCCTTCTTCATCCATGGTATTAAGTCAGTCACTAAGACCTGTGGTTCTATTAATACATCTATTTATCCTTCCTTATCATTTTCTGCTCAGTTCCAGTGCTACTTTCCCAATTTATGCCCTCAGGCCCTCAACGTCTTTCATCAGTGTTTTTGCAAGAGAGTTGTCCTTGTGTCCTCTTCCTTCTGTCTTCGTTTTTTCATTCTACTCCTCACATTGCTGCACAGATATGATCCTGTTCTCCCTTGTTGAAAGCCTTCAAAAGTTCTTTCTTTCTCTACTTTTCATTCTCTCCTATTTTTCTCTTCCCCTTTCATTTCTTCCCTCTCTAGTTTCCTGCCATTGTTCCCCTGTTCACTTGCCTCCTTTCTAACCTTCTTCACTTTACTCTCTCTCCTCCTCCCATGTTTCCACTTCCCTTTCTTCGTGCTTTCTTGCTTCTTCTCTCTCGTCCCTCATTTCCCATTCTCTCCATTCATTTATTTCTCTATACTTTCTCTTCACCTGTATATAATTTAGGGTTTACTATACCTTTAAAATTCTTAATTTTTATTTTTTAATTGCGGTATAATTGGCAACTAAACCTTTTTTTAAACCAGTTCATTTACTCTTATGAGATATGACACTACTCTGTGGCTGTATTTCACAGATTATAACTTATGAGACTTAGGTATCTTATATAAGTAGATAATTTTCTAGATTGAAAATACTTTTGAAACTTTGTTTTTCTGTATTTTAAAATTTGAACTATGTTCATAATTATCACAAGAAAGAATTATGACCTCATGGCATATAGTTTAAGATAAAATAACTCTCAGAATTCCATGGTGGTCCAGTGGTTAGGACTTGGCACTTTCACTATCAGTTCGATCTCTGGTTGGGGAACCAAGATCTCGTAAGCCCCATGGTACAGCCAAAAAAAAAGATGAAATAACTATTTTCTACTTTAATTTTTGATGTGTTTTCCAGAGGAAAATCAGTATGATTTTTTTAAAAACAATGGCCTTCCACTCATGATACAAGCCTTAACTGAATCTCAGAGTGAGGAACTAAACAAAGCTGCCACTTTCGTGCTTCACAACTGCAAAAAAATTAGTAAGTTTATTATTACTTAAAAAAAAAACCTACCAAAGTTTTTGAAAGGGAATTTATATCTGCTTTGATGAACTAAGCCCCTTTAGCTCCCAGCCTCTTCTTACATTTGAAAAGTAGATTATGTAATTTTGACATGACAACTAGAGTATATAGCATATAAAAAACTTCTATGGAAGGGAGCAGCAGTATAGATAATTCACTTATTTAATGCACTGTGGACAGATTTAGTTGTAGGACTTAAATCTGAGGGCTACAGGTGACTTAGGATTAAATCATAATATAAAGTATGTTCATTTATTTATTTAAAAAATATTTCAGTGCCTCTTATTTGCCAGGCACTGTGCTAGGCTTAAGGGAGACAGTGATAAGATATAGCAGTCTATGTGCTCATAGAACTTAGTTTAACTGGAGAAATGGGAAGTAAATGAATATATTATTATAAATTAATGCAAAGGTGAAGAGTGGATGGAGCACAGATCCTAACCTGTAATAAAAGACTGTGACCTAGACTTGGAGCAGAACAGGCTTTGGGAGGAAGTGATTCTTCACCTGAGATCTGAATGTAGAGTTAATTAGGTGAAAAGAAAGGAGTTTGTCTTGGTCCAGTGTCTCAAGCATAAGCAATGGTGAGGCACAAAGGTCCTGTGAGAGGAAAGAACCTGGTGCATCCAAGAATTGATGGCTGGAGCATAGAGGAAATAGCCCTGAAAAGAAGGAGTTTGGTCTTTTGAAAGAAAAATTGCAGCCACAATACGTAAAAAACTTAAAAATTATAGGAAGGAACCTATAATCCACATGTGTTAAAAAAATACTCTAAAACCAGTATCCATAAACTTGAGCATGTTTATATGTCTGGTGTAACATATTTTCATGCTATTTTTTCCCTATAATTCCGAAAAGTAAAGTCTTATTTTATGACTCTTCAGGTCCTCAACTTCTGCCAAGCACTTTCTTTCCACTTATTTTCAGTACCAATTAGGCAGTTAAGATGGTTTGGATGTGCAAAATTTAGAGAAGGGGTTGTGGGATATGAGTTTGTCCTTATTTAAAGTGTTCAAATAACATTGCTAGTAATGGATAAACTCACTATTTTTTTTCCATATTACAAAGCTGAGAAGTTATCTCTAAGTCTAGGAGAATATTCTTTTGATAAAAATGAAGAGCATTTAAAGGACATAAATATGAAAGAGAAGAATCTTGAAGATTACTGGAAGAAAGCAAAGGAAATTTTACACAGAATAGAAGAACTTGAAACAGAAGGAAATGAGGTTGGCTTTTTTGTTTCAAATAATACAGAACTTTTTTCAAAATTTTTTTAATAATAGAGGTTGGAGGGTAAAATATTTTTCTTACAAATTTACTTTTTATGGTTTTAAATTTAAAATTCAATAGTAATACTTGAGGAATCATCCTTGAACACAGAAAAAAAAATATTTTTAAAAAGTGAAAATGAAGGACTTCCCTGGTGGTCCAATGGTTAAGAGTCCGCCTTCCAATGCAATGGATGCAGGTTCGATTCCTGGTCAGAGAACTAAGATTCCACATTCTGTGGGGGCATTAAGCCTGGCCTTCACATCTAGAGAGCCTTCCTGCTGCAGATGGCAGAGCCCAGGCACTCCAGAACCTTGCTCTCTACAACTTCAGAGAAGCCTAGGTGCCACAACTGTAAAGCAGCTTAAAATAGATATTTAAAAAAGTGGAAATAATGACTGAAAAAATAAGAGACATGGAAGATAGAGTCACGAGGTCTATCAGTTACATAGTAAGGGTTTGAGAAAGAGAAAGAATGGAGAAGTAATAGTTGTCCCTTGAACAACAGGTGTGTGAACTGCTTGAATCTATTCATACATGACTTATTTTGACTTTATTTTTGTGTAAATTGTGAGATATATGTTCCCATCGGACTACCCAAAAGTCCCCAAATTATTTAATAAATATTCTCCCCTTTCTCCCTAATGTAAACTTCATCTTTTATAATGTATATTCTATTGACAATCATAAACTTTTTATGCATTATTTAAAGGGAGTGTAATTTGGATTATAAAACATTATTTTGAAATGATTTACTTATTTCTATATTATAGGAAAATATACAAGGAGAGAATTATAAGAATAATGTTTCATCTATGAACATAAATATTCAAGATACACTGAAACACCTCCATGCGGATAGCAGCGGTGGTGTTCCCAAAGCAGAAGATAAAGATAAAAGCCAGGCTAGAAAGCTACATGGTTCTAAGTCCCATAAAGTCATGTCTAAAGCATGTACAAATGATGATCAAGTGAAGATGGTGTTAAGGAGTGCAAATCCAGTTAATGCTTGTTATAGGGAGAGTGGGCAAAATAAGACTTTATGTACAGCCAATTCAAGCTGCAAACAAAACCTATGTGAAGAAACAACTTCTGAAAAAAAGAACTTTGTTTCTCAGTCAAGGTATAATTTAATAATTGTTTCTAACTTTTATTGTACTTATTTATTCAGCATTTGTGTGTGTGTGTGCGTGTAGTACAATGTGCTATACTCCTAAGCACTGGGATATAGAAATGATAAAACATGGTTTTGGGAAGAAACCTAATGTAGGAAGTTTTGGGAAAAGGGTTTGGACGGGACAGTCTTGGCCAGTTCGTCTAGGGTCTGGCATGTCATACTCAAGATTTTCTGTTTTAACTTATAAGGTATTAGGAGCCATTGATAATTTTAAATCAAATGGCATAACCAGATTTGAATTTTAGAAGGGATACTCAGAAAACTTAAACTGAATGTCTATAGCTGAAATAATGATACACATATTGATAATCAGCAATTTGGCAAAAGCCAGTTTGTATGTTTAATTTGATAAATGGCGGTAAGGTGTGATTAAGATCTGGTTTAGGCTTACCTTTTCATTTGTCCCCTGTACCCCCTCTCCAGTACATGTTCTTTCTCCCTCATGGGTAGCCTACGGGACTGGACCTGGAATCACAGCCTTTCTTCCTAGAACCTTTCTTGTGTTGTGCTCTTCTGATAGTTACTGGACTATGAGGGAGACTGAAGAGGATGCTGCTATGTTTTGGGAGGTTGCAGGGTAAAACAAGTGTTAGAAAGATGGATTATATCATCACATTCCCTTTTCCTTTTCCAAACCATGTAATTTTAACTTGATTTCTTAGGGATGTAGAATTGGGAATTAGTGAGATATGCTCTTGAGCCAGCCTTCTTGCCCTCTGGCCCACTGAATTTGTTATTTCCTCTTTTTTGCTTTTCTTCTTTCTTATTTTCCTCTTTTTTTCCCCATGTTTCTGCTGACATCAGTATTGTTGCTGTTTGGAGTCTTGTTTAACTCCACTTTTTTTAAAAAATTGAAGTAGAGTTGATGTTACAGTTACAATGTCTCAGCTGCACAGCAGTGATTCACTTACTGTTCTTTTTCAGATTCTTTTCCATTATATATTACTACAAGATACTGAATATAGTTCTCCATTCTATACTGTAGGCCCTTATTATCTATATATAATAGTTAACTCCACTTTTAGAAACAAGGTTGTATGTAACTGCTGCATACCATACTTTGGCAGAATTTGGTGGGTTTCAGTAGATCCTGGTTCCAGCTCCTTCTGTCTGCCAAACTCTGCTTATATAGAAACATTTGTTCACACACCAATGTTTACTTATAGTAATCTTGTGTCTATTTTCTTTTAGAGACCAAATTTTTAAACACCCAACTCCTATTGCCAAAAACACAAAGCAGCAATTACCAGTAACAGGTATGACTAAAAATGTTTCTTCTTTGATTGTTGAACATATTCAGGTGATTAATATAGCTAAAAATGTACATTGGTATATCTTCTCTCTAACATACAAGCTATGCCTTTACCTCTCTTTCTAAACAAAGTGCTTCAGTCACCTGTTGTTAATATCCAGAACCTTTCTATTTATCCACTAGGATGACTGGATGTGTAGTCCCGGGCTACAGTTTATGAAAATTTTCAGAATTAATAAATCTTGTAAAAGTCACATACTTTTTACTAATCAAAAATACCTTGCATTTTGCAATTTTTTCTCCAGATCCATTTACATTATGTTCAGATATAATAAATAAAGAAGTCATCAGTTTTCTAGAAACAGACAATTGTTCCAAAATGTTGAGGTACAGATGTTCAGGTAAGTATTTTTTTAATTGTAATTGTTTCATAATTAAAGTTTATATGACATAAGTTAACCAGAATTTGTAATAGTTCTACCAGTGTGATTTAGACTTCATTCCCTTTGGAGAAATAACAATCTTGGGTGTCATAAAAAATTCAAATTAATACCTTTTATCTACAGTAGCCTGTGTTCCCAATATTTGTTCATATAAGTCAACACAGCTAATAGTTTTTAAAAATTACCTTATTATTCTCTTTTTGTCACCATCTATAAGTTTAGCTTTACTGAGTAAGGTAAACATTTTTTGTATTTTCAGAGAGTCAATAAATAGGTATATATTCTGGATTATGTTCTGAAAATCATAGGCATTAATCGTCTATTTTTATATTTATAGTAAATTTATAAGTTTTTCTAGTATTCCATGTCCCATTATTTCTTTTTTTTTCAGGGTCCTCAGTGCTTACTCCATCCTTTCTTCTCCTTCATATCCAAGTATTTGTTCTTTGTTTACTCTTATTGTTGCACTCTGCCCTTTGGAGAAAATTGAGGCTATTCCACATTAGGCTCAAAATACTACTGTTCTTCTGCCTTCCACCAGTCGTGCCCAACTCTTTGCAGGATTATAGCCTGCCAGGCTCGCTTCTCAGTCCATGGAATTTCCTACTCAAGAATACTGGAGTGGGGTGCCATTTCCTCCTCCAGGGGATCTTCCTCACCAGGGATCGAACCTATGTCTCTGTGTCTCCTGCATTGGCAGGCAGATTCTTTACTACTGAGCCATCAGTTATTCCTTGACCTTTCTCCTCCTGCCAAATTTCTGCAGATATTTCCCCCACTAAAATAATCTACAGCACTTCCTCAAGTCTGCTGCAACATATACTTTTGTGGTATCATCTCTCATTTTACCAATGATTTTCAAATCTGTATCTCCACGCTTCACTTGTACCTTGGGTTATAGCCACGTTCTGCCATTTCCAGCTGTATCCAGGACATACTCACTTTAATATCTTGTTATTTCAAATTTAATATATTAAAAACACAATAATTTTCTTCCTCTTAAACTTCCCTCCCTCCAGCATCTTCATTTTTGTTAATATTGCCACTATTCTTCTGGCCCCCCAGATATCAAACATTGAGTCATCTATAACTATCTTTTCTCCTTAGATCCCCTATTTCTAGTCTATCAAATTTGGTTGTTTCTTTCTTTCCCACACAGGCCTCTTTTCCTTCATGCCTCAATTACTCCAGCAACTCTCTAGCAGTCTTTCAGTCTCAAGTTTCACCAACCTCCAAGTCACGCATATTGCTATTAACTTCTCTTCCTCATGTGCTTTTTATCATGTTACCTGGGTAAAGAACCCTCAGTGCTTCTCTGTAACTCACAAATCAAACTCTCTGCCTGGCTTTCAAAATTGTGTGGAATTTTGTTCTGCTTCCGCTTGTAAAATTTTACTGCACATTTGTTCTACCAGAAATGTGCTGTGTTTATTCCAGACCCTGCCATTCGATCAGTCACAATTGAGCATTGTCCTAAATGTCTCTCTTACCCTAATAGCTCATTATTCATCAATTTTACCTTAGAAATCTCTGCCTTCTCCCAGCAAATGTTGTATTTCAGAATCCCCTCATTTGTTTTCTGGACTATTTAAGTTACCCCTCAACTGATTCTCTTACTTTCAGCTGAGCTTTCTCTTAGACAAATTACATCATATCCCTGCTTGATAAATATCCCTCAGTTCTCCCATTGACTTGAAGATAGCTAAAAATCCTTAGGATGGTTCTCAAGACTCTTGTTGATCGACCCCTGGCAATCCTTACCAGCCTCAACTTTTCTCCCACACTTCTCTCATACCTTATACTCCAGCCACACACGACACCTGTGATTGTCTGAACACACTACACTTTCTCACTCTTCTGTGCTTTTGCATGTGTTCTTTGTACTTAAAATGTCCTCATCCCTGCCAACTTTCTGTCTGGCTAACTTTTTCTTTGGGCAACAGGCAGATAGAGTACCTTATAATGTATGGATGTGGCTAACATTACCTGAAGCTACTGATCAATGTTAACGTTTAAAAAAAGATAGTCAGACTTTATGTGTCTGTTAATATGATACAATTAGAAGTCCACACTACTACCTGTGAGGAATTCTACTAAAAACAACTTAATCTGAATCTGATCAGTCATCTAGATCTAATTAACAGTTTCTTGGGCACATAGGAACATTTTAAAGGATACAACTAGGATGTAATCAGCAAAACCCCAACTTTGGGAAATTGCACATTACAAATGACCTGGTGTCTCCAACAGGCAAATGACAAAGAGGAAGAGAGGAGAAGTGATAGATTAAAAGAAACTCAAGAGACATATCAGCTGAATGTAATGGTCGACCTTGTTTGAACCATGATTCAAATAAACTGACCATAAAGAGAAAGTTTTAAAATGATGGGGAAATTTGAGCACTGACTGGATATTAGATTATATTAAGCATAATTTTCTTAGGTGTGATAGTGGTTTTGCCATTTAAAGAAATAAGACAAAATAAGTACTTTTTAAAAAGAGTTCTTATCTGTTAAGAATGCATATGAAATAATACTCAAATGCAACTTCTAGGCTTCATAATCCAGTGTGTACAGGAAAGCAGAGCTGAGTAGGTAGAGGGAGATAAAATATGATTGGCCTTGAGTTAAGAATAGTTGAAGCTAGATGCTAGTTACATGTAGGTTCATTATTCTTTTCCATTGATTCTCATGTATTTGAAGTCTTCCATAATATTAAAAAAAGAAAAGATGACTAAGCTTAAGGGTCATTTCTTTTGGATGTCTTCCCTGACAGTGACTCCTGCTCAGGATAGACCAGGCTAGGCACCTTTCCTGTATCACCATAAGTGCTTCCACCTCTGTGGCAACGCTCGTTTCCCTGTGTTGTATTTGTTGTCTTTACTCTTTCACATGACGTGGCTTTGAGTTTCGTAATGTATTTATAATTAACTTTCTGACTTCACTTCAGTTACCATCATAAAGATATTTGCTTTCATAAATTTGTTATTAAATATTTTATAACATCTATGCATCATTTTAATTTGTTTTCTTTTAGGTTGCATAGCAGTAGGAAAATCCTTGAATAGTCGAAATTTTAGCAAGCTCTTGCATTGTTGCCCATACCAGTGTGATCGTCACAAAGTCATTGTGGAAGCTGAAGACAGATATAAAAGTGAACTAAGGAAATCACTTATCTGTAACAAAAGTAATTAATTCAGCAGTTTTAAAACTGTAATTATGACTGTACCTTCTGAACTATGATCTAGAACGTTAAGTATATTAAAAGCTAAAGGGTACAAAAAGTGTTGAAAAGAAAATCTGTCTCTGAGCAACTATGATTTAAAATGTTCCCAGGGAGTAGATTTAGTCTCTGGTGGTTTAAAAATTCTTCCTAATCCACCTAAGGATTCCCATTAGAAGGGGAAAAAAGGAAATATCATACTAATGGAATTGATGTGATACTACTCAGATTAATACTCTAAGTAGGCTAAATGTTTTCGTATTTTTCAGAAATTCTGCTGACCCCACGTAGAAGACATCAACTCAGTAGTGAATCTACTACCCCTGGAAGAATAAGTGAATATACTTAATTTTTAAATAAATATAAATTTAATATATTCCTGAAACAGAACAGCTCATGATTGTTCTCAGTCACATCATTAATGGCTTCTAAATAATAACCCTTGGCTTTGATAAGTCATATTTCCTGACAAAAGAGGTTTCCCTCCTCCCTTCCTCATGCCACTCGCTCATCTCTTGCTTTCTAGTTGGGGAAGGAGCAGGAGAAAACAACATTTATTAAGAACCCGTTATGTATTAGGTGTTTTATGGATATTATTTCCTTTATTTCATAAAATAAAATTGTAAGATAAGGTATTATTTTATTTCCACTTTCTTTTCTTTTAGGTTGCATAACAATAGGAAAATCCCTGAATAGCCAAAATTTGCCAGTGAGCAAATGGCAGAACTTAGATTCAAATCCAAGTTTGTCTTTCTCCAGAACCCCCGGTTCATTCCTCTGGATCACATTTCTGTTTTAAGAATAAAGTTATTCTCCTATGCACAAGTGCTTCAGAAAGGTTTTGCAGAAGATTTTGGTTTACATCTACAGCACTTCAAATAGTCAAAATTGAAAGACAAATAGTATAAAGCTTAGATCCCTGCTTAAAAATTAATATACTTCTCAGACTATGAGTTAACTTATAGGAGGTTTTATTAAACTACAGGGTTAACAGTTCAGGTTTATCACCATTCCAAATTTATCATGAGACTTAAAGAACGTTACCATTTTCTTCTGTTTGTGTGGAATTAGTACCTGCAGAATAAGAGTAATCAATTGAGTACATTACTTGTCAAAGTAACCTAGAAATTAATAGCCATTAGTAACTATAGAGCCATTCTGTTATTTATTGTGAAGAGGTCTGGACTTGATCCATCCAGGAAACATTTTGCCACTCACTTTTGTTTGGCCATTTTCACTGCCAAAACCTTGAAAGAAATTTCAGATTTACTTTTTATAACTGGGTCTTTTTTAAGATTAAAACTTCTGCATATAAATTAAGTGCAGTATCAGTATAGGGTAGCCCACTTTTTGAAGTAATATTTTCTGTAGAAACTGTTAGAAAATAGATATTTTTCCATAGAAATGTTGCAGTTGGAAATCTTGTCTTTGACAAGGAGTTGGCATCAAATTAACAATAGAATTTCTTCACCAGCATGTCTTAAAAGCAAATATAAAACAACTAAAAATATTTGATAATCATTTTTCATAGTAAAGTCATTTTCAGAACCTCATGAAATATACATAATTATTCCTATATATTGATTATACAGAGGGATCCTAAATACTGTTAGGATCATTTTCAACTCATAAACACCTACATCTTTTTTGTAGGTTAGAACTGCTTAGTTAAATAATAAGTTGGCCTGCTGTTTTTCAAATTTAGGCATCTTGAGGAGGTGGTGATTAGATTGGTCTTATATCTCTTATAGGGCTTCCCAGGTGGCAGTAGTGGTAAAGAACCTGCCTGCCAAGGCAGGAGATGTGGGTTAGGAAGATCCTCTGGAGGAGGGCATGGCAACCCTCTCCAGTAATCTTGCTTGGAGAATCCCATGGACAAAGGAACCTGGCAGACTACAGTCCATGGGATCACAAAGAGTGGGACACGACTGAAGTGACTTAGTATGCATCCATATCTCTTTAACAGGCAGGCCAGGAATATTTAATGTACTGTTTTCCCCCTGTTAATAAATTTCCCTTTCATACTAGAGACATTCATTACCTTTCATTTGGTTATAGGTTACACTCAAATTTGAGACTACTCTTTTGAGAAGGGACCATTGCAGCATCTAAGTATTTAAAAGAGTCTTGGGGACAAGGCTTTTTTAGGATAGATTGAAAGATAAGTCTAAAACTGAGTTTTCTTGCCTACTTTTCCCTACTATTTTCTTCCCCCTGCTTTCTTCTAATGCCCAATCAGTATAAAAAAGAGCACTAAAGAAGCCACAGAAGGGAGCCTTGTGGTGTAGAGAGCTGTTTCCCCTTCTAGGCTGCCCACTGCTCTGCTGCGGAAACCTTTGAGGAGTTGGGCACAGATGTTAATTTAAGTTAGAAGTCAGTGAAATGGCAACTGCAGTGGAAAAGTGGGGATGGGCTCTACATGAACAACCCCAAGACCCAATATCCTGAATGATATAATAACCCATCTGGTTCTGATTATAATGAGTTTTGAGATCATTTAGCAAGTGAAATTGAAATCATCTATTTCTCAGAGAACTAGTTTCCCAGTAGACCTAAAAGTAAGAAGTAACTTCATTGATGAGTTTTTAAAATATTTATATGTATATATATAAATTTTATATTTAAAATATATTTAATATATTAAATATATATTATGTTATTTTTGGTTGCTCTTCGTCTTCGTTGCTGTGTGCAGGCACTCTAGTTGTGTGGAGAGCAGGATCTACTCCATTGCAATACGTGGGCTTCTCATTGAGGTGGCTTCTCTTGGGGAACACAGAGTCTAGGCACACAGGCTTCAGTGGTTGCAGCACGCGAGCTCAGCAGCTGTGGCACACTGGCTTAGTTGCGCTGAGGCATGTGGAATCTACCGGGACCACAGATTGAACCCGTGTCCCCTGCCCTGGCAGGTGGATTCCTATCCACTGTACCACCAGGGAAGTCCCAGTGATAAATTTTTTAAAAGTTTTTACCAGTAGTAACTTTTTTTTCTTTCAGCAAATATTTATTGATCACCTCCCATGTGTCTGACACAATTTTAGGCACGGGGGACATAATGGTGAGTGAAACACAAAAATCCCAGTCTTCATGGATCTCGCATTCTAAGCAATACTATTCAGTAATAATTAGACATTATTTCATTGATTTCTTGGCCTTCTGCTGCTAAGATTTTTCTCTTCTGATTTAAGAGATCTGAACTGTGGCTCCTATCTTAGGAGAGATGGACTAACAGTCCTGACCTGCAAAGGCAAGATTTTCTAAGGTAGTCCCAGCAGTTATTCCAGGTCCTACTCCATTAGGACCTTAATTGGAAATACAAAAACTTCTCCTCATCAGCATTCACAATGAAATAAAAACCTTAAAGGAGGACTATTTCCTGGTAGTCATGACTAGAAAATATTTGTTTACGGATATCAACTGTGTATTCTTTCTGTTGTAGAAATTACCCCTAAAAACCAGATAAAACTTCCTCCTTGTGCAGCCTGTTTTTTTTTTTTTTTTTTTAGTTTTAATCAAGCTAGCCCTCATATAGGTGATGAACATGTTCTTTAAGTCAAATTTCAAAAAAGACCCTTAATCCTTTAAAACTATTAATCAAGCATGATAATTAAAGTAACAAATATTGATATTCTTTTCTATGAAGTTATGGAGCCCTTTGGGAAGACTAGCTGTAAGACAGGTAAGTGGTTAACTGTCCTCACAGGAATGTTGAAAGAGTTAACAACCAAATGTTCATAAAATTTTGTGTCTCTTATCATAAGATTAAGTTACAGTTATTACAGAGATCACAGTGATAGCATCTAGGTTGATAGTAGGCACTCAGAGATTGTTTGTTTTCATTTGAAGTGTATTTTCATATGATGAGTAGCCCAGGCATGAAGTTTTCTCACTGTATAATCCATATCCTTAGAATAAGTTTTTATTTGATTCTCAAGAAGATCTCTTTTTTTTAGCAAGTACTAATATATTCTACAATTCTCATTAATTACAGAGAAAAGAAGAATTCGTAAAAACTTTACCAAAGAAGAAATAAATTACCTTTTCAATGGAGTTAAGAAAATGGGAAATCACTGGAATTTAATTTTGTGGTCTTTCCCCTTTCAGCAAGGACGGAAGGCTGTGGACCTTGCTCACAAATACCACAAGCTGACCAAATGCCCCAAGTGTGTGGCTCCTTGATTGGAAGAAGACTTGTCAGTTGTTAGTTTGACACCTTGAAAAACAGTGTGTTAAAAATACAAAATTTTAAATATTCTTAGACACTCTCATGAGACAGGAAATGTGGCAATGGGGATACTGTTTTAATTATTTTTTGTGATGCTGTAGCTCATCAGACTATTAAAATAACTTATAAGGACTTCCCTGGTGGTCTAGTGTCTAAGACTCCGTGCTCTCAATGCAGGGATCCTGGATTCAGTTCTTGGTCAGGGAATTAGATCCCATAAGTTGCAACTAAAAATCCCCTGCAACTAAGGCCCAGTGCAGCCAAATAAAATTATTTTTTTAAATTATAAAACAAGTACATTTTCTTCTAAAAATTTTATTTTATCATATCTTTGGCTGCGCTGGTTGTGATGTGTGGGGTTCTCTCTAGTTCTGGTACGAGAGCTCTCTAGTTGTAGCATGCAGCCTTAGTTGCCCCATAGCATGTGGGATCTTAGTTCCCTGACCAGAGATTGAACCCATGTTCCATGCATTGGAAGGCAGATTCTTAACTACTGGACCATCAGAGAAGTCCCTAAAACAAATACATTTTCAATGTGTAGATTGGTAGGACAAAATTCCATATGAGATGAAACACATGTTTAGGATTATGATTTTTTTCCCTTAAGCTCAACCTAGGTCAGAGAAAAAAAATTATTGGCCTTTAAACATTATTTGACATTATATACTATATGAGACACTGGATTTAGTATTTTTACCCAGTGACAGTCCCTCCCTGGAACTTAGTTTCCCAAGTTGTTCAAATTATGTTCCCACACACTGTTTCTCCTTCTAAAGGCAATTGTGCAGTTGCTCCAAATACTCCAAATTCTGTTGTCAGGTTCACTTCTTTTTGGTGCATATTTATTTGCTTCTGCATTTTCAAAGTTTGAAACAATTTTTGTTTGTTTGCTTTTAAGTTTTCTTCTAGTTGGAAACCAAACTATTAAATCTCAAACTTCTATTTTTCTTATTCTTTTTATATTCCATCACACCAATGCATTCTTCATTATACTTAAAATACTGTGGCAGTGATCAAGTATCAAGGTCTTAAAGTTCAGTTGCACTTCTGTACACATTGGCTCACTGTTTGATGTCATTCTTACAAATAATGAAGGGTATTTTCCTATAAGCATGTATTCTTGGATCCTTTCAGATCATGAGTATGTCTACTTAGATAAAGCAGAATTTTTATTAATTTCTGTTCTACAATGAAAATACCGGAGGGTCAATAAGCAGAAAAGTCTCTGTTTAAAATCCAAAAGTTCCTTTAGGCCTAAGAATAATTTACAATTAGGAAAATTCTTTGCATCTTTTAAAGTATGAGTGAATTTAGTCCATTATCAGTATTTCCTAAGCGCTATGGAGGTGATTTAAATGGTCTGCTGGGCTACTGTGATGTGTAATTCTCAAGATGTGTGAATGTTGTTTTAGGTCAACGGGGAAAACATTTTGTTGCCTCAACCTTGCTGGCAGTAGTTTTTTTTGTTTGTTTGTTTTCTGTTTTAATTGGAAATTATCTGTAACAGAAAATCAAATACTACTTACATCCCCAAGAGTATGACACACTGCAACTTGGAAGGTGTTTTGTATCCGTCACTGACACTTTATTTAAAATAACTTACATTGCCTTCTGAAACCTTCTTGAAATTTTAGCCTAACCTTTGGCTAACTTGGTTAACGTGAACTGCTTTTTCTCCCTCAAATGGAATTTGATAGTAAATAAATACACATCAAAAGGAAAGCCAAAGAATGATCACATATTAGAGGACTGTTTGGTTTTAGGAACCCAAACCTGACCAGTTCCACAGGGAACAAGAAGTCAGACCCTTGGAGTTGGAGCTTACCTCAGTTATAGCTCCTTGCCAGAGGCATGAACTAACTGCTGTACAACAATCCGGACATTGGTGACTGTCTTTAGTTTTGCCTATATGCTCAGAAACCTGGAATTTACTGTTTCACAGGGTGATAATTGATGGTCAGTTTTTCCTTATGCCAAAATGAAATATGCCTTTCTGGAGTACCTCCTGCAGAACCACAAAAGTTGAATCTCTTTTCCACATACCAGCCCTTTAGAGAGTTTAAGATATATGTTCATCAATTTCCCCTCTACATCCTTTATCTTCCATGCTGCTGAATCTTAGCTACTTCCTGCTTTAGCAGAACAGTGTCATGTCCCCTTATGAACTTAGTCACTGACCACTGGGCACCTTTTTGTTTATAGACTGTCCACCCCAAAATGTGGACTGACTGGCAGAGTATAAGGACCAGTTTCTTTGCTATCCCAAAGGTTTTATAAGAGCAAGTGAGCGTGGACTCAATTCAGTGAGTCTTGTGTGCTAAGTCATGTTCAACTCTTTGCAGCCCCATAGACTATAGCCCTCCAGGCTTCTCTGTCCATAGAATTATCCTGGCAAGGATACTGGAGTGGGTTGCCATTTCCATCTCCAGGAGATCTTCCCGACCCAGGGATCTTCCCGACCCAGGGATCGAACCTGTGTCTCTTGTGTCTCCTGCATTGACAGGTGGATTCTTTACTACGAGTGCCACCTGGGAAATGCCAACGGTTTTATGGACCTTACCTAACATGCTTCTTGGCATTCTACATGACCAACTCTCCAATTATAATTGATATAGTTAAGACATGATTTTTTTTTTTTTTACTAATTCTTACCTTGTTCTTATTTTAACTCCACTACAAGACTTCAGTGTTTGTATGTGTTAATCAGTTGTGTCCAACTCTTTGTACCCATGGATTATAGCCCGCCAGGTTCCTCTGTCCATGGAATTCTCCAGGTAAGAATATTGGAATAGGTAGCTATTTCCTTCTCCAGGGGATCTTCGCAATCCAGGGATCAAACCTGGGTCTTCTGCATTGCAGGCAGATTATTTACCATCTGAGCCACCAGGGAAGCCCCATAAGACTTCAGTGGTCCCTGTTAAATTGAATTTTAGATTTATTCTGTAATCAGTTTGTCATCCAGTGTGTCAGGCCTCCCTTCCTGCTTCAGGTCATCCACAACTTCTATGAGTATGTGGCTGCATTCTCATCCAAGTCACAAATGGTATACCCTGAACTGACTGGGCCAAGGCAGGAGATTGGAGCAGGCTCCTAGCAGCCTCCTCGGGGGTGGAGGGGAGGGGGTGCTTGCTTATCAGCCCACTCTGGGCCTGGTCTTTAACAAGCCTGGATACCATCATCCAGCCTACATTTCACTTTCTCGTTTACGATGTGCATTGGCAAATGTTCTGTTGAAATCTGAATTTGCTATGTCTGCAGCATCCTCCTACTTGGTATTCCTGCAAAAAAAAAAAAAAAAACTAAATCTGGTGCTATCTTTTCCTTTTCCAACTGGTCACATTAGAGAATTTCACCTAGGGGTGATGAATTTCACTAGCCTGTAGTTTTCAACTCCATCTTTTGTCCTGTGAAAATTCTGATACTACTTATGATTTACAACACTTTCTCTGCTTTTCCTAAACTTCCAGAGGTATAATTCTCAATAAGTTTTCACTCCCATTGTCTTGTTTGAACCTTACATTCAGGTTGGCATATATGCTGATTTGTTAGATCCTTTCATTCATGCTGCCAAAATGTTGGCAGAACCAGGATCAGAGTCCTACTCATCTGAAACCCACATACTTGATTGCTTTTCTGCTATATCCTACTTCCTTGTGGTATTTAGAAATGCCTTGTAAAATGCCTCTGCTTCCACAGAGCCCTCAGGTAGCAGTCACACCTAAAGTGAAACTGGACAGGTGAAATGTACTTTTTTCTTTCCTTTTCTTCCCATTACCCTCTTCCTCCCCTTTCCTCCCCTGTCCCTTCTCCTTTCACATCTATTCCTTTTTCTTTCTTTTACTGAAGAAAGGAAATTAAAGCCTAGTATTTTTGGTGTCAAACGGTGGCTCCCAGAAAAAAAAAAAAGCCCTGTTATTAACGTCAAAAGTGTATTATTCATTGCGGTAAAAATCACTGCCTCGTGGTCTTAATAGGATCAAGGAAGAACGACGTGAAAAGCAGGATATTTGTATTCGGGGAGTCTCGTTTAAGGCCGATCTTTCAACTCGTGGCTCGATTAGGATTAGGCAGAGTTCATGGTATATATAATAGGTTAAAACTTATGAGTAAGACTGGAAGTACCAGGATGCTATCAAAAGATAGCTGGAAAGCATTGAGTCCTCGGCCAGGTTTCTTAAGATTTCTGAGCTTCAGGTTCCTCGCCGTTAAAGAGTTTGACGAGATTTAGTGAGATAACGTGGAACTCTGGCACACGATAAGCGCTCGACAAACGGCGCTATTCTGTATTGTTCTCAGTCCAAAGCCTCAGCTTTTCGCTTCAGCGCCTCCGTCCGGTGCCTCGGTCCTCGGACAGCGCAGCCGGAGCGGCCACTGGACGGAAGACCGGGAACCGGGGGTGCTGTTGCCCTCTTCGGCCGGCAGAGGCCGTCAGCGCGACCTCCGCCCGGGCGGCTCCCGCTCGCACCGCCGCCTCCCTGAGCAGGGCTGCCCAGGCAGCTGCCTGACCACCGCCCACCTCCCACCACCGCGGTGGCCTCACGACCCTGTAGGAGCCCGCGGACTTCGCAAGCCCGGCGGGGCGCGGCGAGCGGCGCGGACCGTGCGGGGCGGGAGACGCGGGGTGCGGCTGGCGCGGGCGGCCCGGCGGGGTCCTCGCGGGTCCTCGGCGGGCCCGGGGGAGGGCCCTCTTTGTGGCTGCAGTTGGCAAGATGGCGCCGGTGGGGGTGGAGAAGAAGCTGCTGCTGGGCCCCAACGGGCCTGCGGTGGCGGCCGCCGGCGACTTGACCAGTGAAGAGGAGGAGGGCCAGAGTCTATGGTGAGGCTGCGAGGCGGCCGGGCTACGGCAGCCGGTCCGGGGAGGGTGCGACCGGGCGGGGCGGACCGTCGGACGGACTGACGGGCAGTCGCGGACCGGTCAGTTTCAGGCTGGCCCCGGGGCCGACCGCTCTGCCGTTTCCCCACAGGTCCTCGATCCTGAGCGAGGTGTCCACCCGCGCCAGATCCAAGCTACCGTCCGGCAAGAACATTCTGGTCTTCGGTGAGCGCCGCCGGCGGGGCGTTGTCCGGGGAGCTGGGGTGGGCGAGGCGGGGCGCCCTCTCCCTGGTCCCTGCCTTCCCCTCCTCTGCCGCCTGCCTGCTTGGGAGGGCCTGGAGACCCTGGCTAGACAGTCCTAGTGTGGCCGAGTCACCACGGCCGAGGTCGGGACGCTGCCCCTTTTCGAGAGCCCAGGGATGCTGGCAAGTGCTTCTCGGCACATTCCTTAGTCGCTTGGCCGCAATATTAGCTTTGCTTTAAATGTCCCTGACTTCCTCCGCTCATAGCCTCGAAGTTCACCAAACTGGGCATAAAGAGGGGAGGGACTGGATGAGGAGGTTATCGGAGGAGGCGCGGGGAACGAGGTGAACTGGGGGTCGTCGGAGTGGGAGGAGATGCCACAGGAGCCATTTCTCGATCTTGATAAAGCAGTGTAAGGTGAGAGGGACGCTGCAAAGGGCAGCAGGCTTTGGAGTCCCCACCAGGGACTTTTCCTACATTGTTTAAGGCTTCACTGCTGGGATACCTGGCTTAGGTCCCTCAACATCTCTGTCGAGTGAGAGGCTTTGGCTGGGTTCATTCATACAGCCAACACCTATTTGTTGAGTGAGTCATGTACTGCCCAGGTTGGGCCTTGGGACTGTGCAGACATCCCGCAGACACTACACAAGAATCTCGGTCTAGTGAGAGGAGGATAGATGTCCTGGGCGTAGGCAGATGATTCTGGAGCATCAACCATGGCTTGCTGCTGTTTGGAGGTAGGTATTTTGAAGGATAAGTGTCAACATGCAGGGCCGCAGAGGGTTAGTGTTCTCAGGAACACAGAGGTGAGGAGGATGGAGGAGGGGGGAAGCTAGCACAGCCTCCTTGTGGGAGGTGACTGATGAGGTAAGGTGGAGGTACACTGTGGAAGGCTGAAGAGTCGCTGCTTTTTCCTGAAGCCGCTAAATTCTTGGGGGCTTTTTATTTCACCTCTTCGGTCTGATTCTCATGGGAATCACTTGGAGGGTGGTTTTCCCACTGTTTTTGAGGAGAATGGCTGGCCCTCTTTAGTTGATGACCACTGCAGCAGATAATGAAAGATCCTTAGAGGTCTTCACAAATTGGGGGATCCGGGACACCAGATCTGTGTTTAGAAAGGGGACTCTGGCAGAGAGCGGCAGGTGGCCTGAAGTCAGGCTGAGTGCTCACCACGTCCAGATGGGATGCGGAGGGCCTGAGTGAGTGGCATTGGGGACGGAGAGGAGAACTTGGATCTGTGGATTGGCTTTCAGTGTTCTTGGTCCATAATTCTGTAGTGTTAAATCCCAGGAGTGCCAGCAGTGTTTCTTGGTGGTGGCTCTTTCTGATGTTTAAGGTTTCTTTTGAGGCTGGGGGAGGGGAGTTGTTCGCTGGGTGGAGGGGGACGAGGAGAGGCTTGGTAATTACTGAGGTTGCGCTTTAAGAGTTTTACTTAAGTCTGTGATTATTTTCATTGGTTTCCTGGCCTTCAGGGTGCTTATGAAGGAAATGTATGAAAACTGAAAGTGAAAAGCATCCCCATCATTCATGGTTATGAGGCAGAGTTAGAGTTTTTTTCATTAAGGTTGATTATATTTTGAAGATTTGCTTTTCTTGGGGTAGAAGTTTATTTTGTGAGACACTGGCCCCGCCTTTTACTTTCACTTCTCCATTTGCGTGTCTTATAAATTGTAGGTAGGGTCTGTGGACCTGCCTTCCTCCTTTCCTTGGGAGGTAAGGATGGCTGCAGTAGATTGTCGTTTGAGATCTTGGAAATTGCCACCTTTCTCACCTCTCCCCACCCTGACTACTCTTGCAGCAGGTCCTGCTTTGTTTCTGAATGCAGATGAGACCTCTGTAGCAAGCTCCATATGAAAGTTCCTTGTGTGACTGCAGACTCCCCATCCTTGCCTAGAATAAACAGTATACTTTGTCTTCTTATGTGCATCACTTGTAGGTGAAGACGGTTCTGGTAAAACAACCCTCATGACTAAACTTCAAGGAGCTGAGCACGGCAAAAAAGGAAGAGGCCTAGAGTATCTCTACCTCAGCGTCCATGATGAGGACCGAGATGGTGAGTGAAGCATTGATACCCATGCAGGTGTCTGAGTCCTTGGTTACCACTACTGCAACATGGCCAGGCATTCTCAATTTTCTGTTTAGTTCTAAGAGAATTAGTCACAGGAGAATAGATGAAGTGTGTGTTTTTGTAGGACTTTAGCTACTTCTCTTTATATAGAGTATGGTAGCAAAATGGGGAATGGGCCTGTTAGCTGGGTGGCCCCATTTAAAAGGAGATACTGAGGGTAAAGTTTCAGATGCACATCAATGTAAGAAACTAAGAAATTTTTAAGTGCCTTGGACTTTTGTTTGAGAGAAATGCTTGGCTCGCTGATCTGGGCACCACTGTTACTCTGTCTGGTTCTAGTGGAAAATCTGAAATTAGTGTAGTTCAAAATGTACCTGCTTAACAGATATTCACAAGAGAATTTGGAGGTTTTTGTGTGTTTATGACAGTGTAGAAATTTCCTGATTTCCTGGGGGATATTTGTTTAGTATTTTTTGTTTTCCCCAAGTGGAGAGAATAGAGACTCAGAGGCAATAATGTTCTCTTTTAATTCACATTTGTAGCATGTGGATAGTAATCGTTTTCTACCTTCTGGATATTTGGGATGATTAAAAGTGCATGGTAAACTCTCTTATAAGGATTAGATATCATTTACAAGTTTTTTCTTATGAGTCCAGTAGGAATAATGGTTTTTGGTTACCACTAGTCAGTATTGCTTCCTTTCTAAACTTTCAGATTTTATGTTAGATCTTGAATGACTCTAGAATAAATAATTGTTAGCACCTAGGTCTTTTAATTTGTAGGAAAGTTATCTCTGTAGCCTAAGGATGAAATATCTTCATTAAATTACTTTCTTTAAAATTTCCTTTACCCATTTAAACAGTAAGAATCACCATGTAACAGTGATTTTATAAGGGGACAAATTCCACCATCTCTAGTCCCTCATTTCTTTATTGCTGAAATGAAGACGCTGATCTCAGATGGTTCCTTCTACCTTAATTCTTCAAGTTCCAAGAATCATATAAATAAAGGGGAAGAAACCCTTTAATCTTAACTTTATGGTCATCTTTAGAACCCCAAGGACTTTATTCCTGCTCCTCCTTCCTTGGCTTCCTTTGCCTTACTGAACATTCCCTGTGTTCATTGTGAAAGAGAGGTGGAAGGTGCTGAGAACTCTCCTTGTCTATGGAGAGCAGAGGCGTTCCAGTGCCCGCCTAGGCCCACTGGAGTTTGTGTAGGTAGTAGGGTTGGGACTCAGGGGTCATTGAGCTAGACTAGGGGGCTTTACATGTCTGAGTCTTTTGATTCCTGTCTTTGATGATTATTGTGGAAATAACTTGGGCATTGTAGCCAGGCAGAACTGGTTTAGAATCCTACTCCTGTAGTCACTACTTGTAACTGACTTAACCACTCTGTTCCTCAGTTTCCTCATTAGTAATATTGGGCAATGAAACTAGTTTGTAAGTTGACAAAATGAGAGGTGGCATGTGTTAAGTGTCGCTTGAGTACTTGAAACACAGTGGTAGGTCTAGTACCCATTTTTTCCCCAAAAAAAACTTTATAAACTTTTTATTTTGTATTGGAATATAGCTGATTAACAATGTTGTAGTTTCAGGGTAACAGCAAAGTGATCTAGTAACTTTTTGAAAGTAGATGAAGCATCATGTATATACTCTTTACATGTCTACAGATGCTTGTTTCAAAGGGCATAAACATATCTCATCCCAGCCTCAAAGTAACCATGTTCACTTGCCTTTGAGTTGAAGTACATGTTAATTTTTATTTCAGATTCCTTAAACTTGCCCTAAAAACTTCTTGACCTCTGCATTTACAGGATTTTTTTTAGGCCGCCTACTTGCAAGCTCCTCTTTGATGAAAGAGTTGTCCTTACCTGTGGTTAATTATACATCTTTCAGCCTCCCTTTTTTTAATTTGTGTTATGACTGGGTTATAAATATACATTTGCAGGCAATCACCTAGGTAGAGAATATAGGATCTGGTTTGTCCTTCATTTGTGGTAGGACTTGACATGTCAAAGGACCTCTGCCTTCAGGGTTTGGGGTATCCATTTGATACCACTTGTGTGTGTAATCTCCATGCACACGGGTGAGTTATACGTACTGGGCAGTGGGAAGAAAGGAGCTATGTTTTGTGAGGAGCAGGCATTAACATCTGCAGACTTCAGGTATAGTGCAGTATTTTTGAAGGCATTCATAGAATCCAAATCAAAACCGCTATCTGAAATATGTTAAGAGTTTTGAAAGCATAGTTGGATGTAGATACCTTTATTGTACTGTTGAAATAAAATCATGAATATAAAATTTTTTACAGCCTGTAAATTAATTGATTATATCAGAAAAAGGTAGCTAACTGAAGATAGGTTGTTTTTTGTTTTTTGTTTTAAAGCAAGAGACTTCATTGGGGAGGGGCACCCAGGTGGAGCACAGGATGGTAAGGGAACCCAGGAGAAATGCTTTGCCATTTCTCAGATTTCATGGCTCGAATTCTCGGATTTTATGGTGATAGGATTAGTTTCCGGTTTGTCTCTGGCCAGTCACTCTGACTCAGGGTCCTTCCTGGTAGCACACACACTGCTCAGTCAAAATGGTTTCCGACGAGGAGGGTTCTGGGAGGTCAGTAGGACATCTGAATCTCCTTTTGACCTTTCCTGAATTTGAAGGCAGGTTTTTTAAAGTATAAGTTGGAATTTATTGGGGAAGAAGTTAATAAAATTATATTTTGATAGTAGGATGGCTCCCTTGAGGTGCTTATATTTAAAAAATTTTTTTCTTGAAAAAGATATTTTAAAAACTTTATGTATATTATTAATTTGGAGAATTCTACGGTTTGATTATTTAGGTATAATTTTAGAATCGTGCTTCATTAAAAGTCAGCACTTGCACATTTGTGCAAATGTGTTTTTAACTTTACTGGGGAAAACCAAACTACCTAAAACACAGACTAGTTTGATGAGCCCCAGTATATCTATCCCCTGCCTTCAGGTTACCAGTTCTTGGTGTGTTATGTCAGCTATACTTTACACCCTCTTTTTATTCTACATTGGATTGTTTTCAAGCAAACTTCACAGACATTATGTCTTTTTATCTGTGACTACTTCCAAATGTATCTCTAGAAGATTAGGGCTTTTGAAAATGTAATTATATTATACCCAAAATAAGTGTAATTTCTTAATATCATCAGGTGTCCCATAATCCATATCTGAGTTATGTAAGTAATGAGTTTATCTCAGCGTTTAATTACAAAGGTCCTGTTTCTTTGCACCCTTTGTGGTATGTGAGCTCACTGTTTAGTGTGACTGACAGAAGAAGAGCTTGTTTAACCACAGGCTCTTGGCCACAGCTTGCTGCCTCACAGATTGCTAATATCTTAGAATGGATTATTTAGACTATGGCACAGTTGTCCAGGGAACTTTTGTAGCTTTTATTCATATTTCCTGATTCTTACTGAAAGCTAAAATGTCCTTTATTCTTTGGTCTTCAGACATTGCAGCAATTCTGTTAGATGTGGGCACAGTATATTACGGTTGTTAAAGAAATTTTCTAGTTTGGACAGTTCACAGGACATCTTGATGAAGAGTTGTTGTGTTTTCTGGTTAGGATTTTTTTGTGTTCTGTGTGGAATTCTGTGGCTCTTATCTTCAAATTTATTCCTATTGTGACTCTCCTTTTCAGCTGTGCTGATGGTCATCATCAGTAACTTCACTTCGCTTCTTTTCTTAGATCACACACGCTGCAATGTGTGGATTCTGGATGGAGATCTATACCACAAAGGCCTGCTGAAATTTGCAGTTTCTGCTGAATCCTTGCCGGAGACCCTGGTCATCTTTGTTGCAGATATGTCTAGGCCTTGGACTGTGATGGAATCACTACAGAAATGGGCTAGTGTTTTACGTGAGCACATTGATAAAATGAAAATTCCACCAGAAGAAATGAGGGAGCTGGAACGGAAGTGTAAGTAATGTAGGGTTTTCTTAATTGGAAAGTTCCCTGGTCACTTTGGATGATTCCAACCACCTTCCTTTTCACAGGATCAAGAGGCTGCAAAGCTCCCCTTTTAGAGTGTTTGTTTGCACCATTTATTTCAGAGTTGCTTTTGTCGATTCAGTAGTCAGAAAGTCTTCAAAGCAGGGAATTTCCTGGCTGTCCAGTGGCTGGGACTCCGTGCTTCCCTTGCAGGGATACAGGTTCCATCCCTGGTTGGGGAAGTAAGATCCCACGAGCCGTGTGGCATGGCCAAAAAAAAAGTCTTCAAGGCAGTCTTTGTCTCAGCTGTCACAGCTGAAGAAAATACATGAATCAGTGTTCCTTATTGTCATTGGTTTTCTTTTATAATAAGTGTTCTTGCCTCATCCCCTAAAATGTGATCGGTTCTATAAGTCTTTTTCCTCTTCTGTTTACCCCTTGTCTGCTGAGTTCGCATGTGTGGGTTTGGAGATTTATTGTGATTTCTGTAGCGAGTCCGTTGCTCTGGATGTCATTGAGGTTCTATGGACCCTTTCGTTTTCAGTTTTAAAGGAAGCCTCACAAAAGATAAATCTTTCAGCTCTTGCCTTAGTTCATTTTGCCATTCAGCAAATACGATTTTAAGTAAGAAATAGGAAGTTCTTTTTTTTGTCATTAAAATGAAAGGATATTTTAAGACTCAGGACATCCAAGGCCTTTTGAGAACAAACTTTAAAGGAAGTTCGTTTTTGTTTTTCCTTTTTGTGATTCAGAAGCTTGTTTTTCGTTTTCTTTGCTTCTGTGCAGTTACATCAGCTTCTGTCCACTTGCCAGGGAAATGGGAGGGGCAGGGGCTGGAGCTGTGACAGCGGCAGCAGCACTCTCTTGGCCAGGGCAGTCTTGGCTCCGCCTGGCTTATTTCCACAGGATGACATCATTCCCTTTAGTGAATTAATGAGGGCTGCTGGGGCATGGCACATGGGACCTTCATACTTACTGGCAGAGACACATCGGGAATCTCGATGTGCTTTTCAAATCAGATTTCTTGCTGGGTGTCTTCCTGTCATAACTTCAGCTTGCCCCTGTCTCAGATTAGCTAAAACGAGTTTAACGGGTGATTGTTTAGTTTGCCATGTGCATATATTTCCTGGGACACCCGCCTGTGTGCTGCAGTGATTGTTATGCAGCTCAGCTCATCTGTCCTCAAACACTGATTTCTCTAGATAATGCCGACCTTGCCCCTGAAATAGAGACCCTGAAGACAACTTCTGAGAAGACTTCTGAGGCTGAAGAGCCATTTTCCTTTTCGCTGCACATTTACCATTGTACCCAGGTTAATGGCACAAGAGATTTCGGTCTCTAAACCTGTTTTCTTAAGAGTTATAAACCTTGTAAAGACTTGTTAAAACAGAAAAAAAAGGAAGAGATTGGGCCAAGGATATTTTTGCTTCCCAGAGAGGGCAAGTGTCTGCCTGGGGCCAGGTCTGTTCTAGGTGTTGGGGATACATACAGCAGACAGGGTGCCCAATCCTGGGGAGCTTGTATTCCCATGACATGCTGAATTCATTTTGTGGTCTTAGTCATTGATGTTTGTCATTTAGGATTAGATTGAGCTGCATGTGACACAAGCCCCAAAATAACAGTCGCCTAAACAAGACTGGGTTTTATTACTCGCTCCTGCAAGTGAAATCCAGAGGTGGTTGGTAAGTTCAGGCCTGGAAAGCGGCTAAAGGAAGACAGGTCAAGGACCCAGGCTCCTTTTTGCTTACTACTTGGTCATCTCTAGGGTGTGGTTCACTTCTTGGCACCTAGAGCTCCAGCCTTCACATCTGTGTTGCAGGCCGGATGGAGGAAAAGCAAAGGACTGAAGGGCATGTGCCCATGGTCTTCCTAAGAAGACGTTTCCCTAGGAAATGTAGTCGGTGTGGCCGTGTGTTCTAAGTATCACGGTTCTGTTTGGTTGTAAGGAAGGAGAGGAGGACACTAGAGGGCAACTAGAGATTGCTGGCACCGCATCCATGCCTCATGACTCTGGTTAACCTTCTGAGGGCCTCTCTTGTTTTCACTGCCCTTCGTCTGAGATGTTTGGAATGGTATTCACGCCTTGGTGTTACCCGTTGAAGGAGTGCCTTTGTTAGTGCTGGTTTTAGGTTACATTTTAATAAAGCGGTTGGCCGTCTTTTCGCTTGAAGGACTCCCACTTTCCAGATTAATTGCGCTCTAGGTATTGTATTGAATAAGCAGAAGGCTGTCGCCCATCCTGCTTTCAGTCTCCAGTTGGCTGAGTTTGGAAGGCTGCTCCCTGGCCAGTCGCTGTTTCTGGATTAGGGTCCCCAGGGGTCCTGAATCCGTTGCCGCTGTTTGGCAGCAGGATTGATGGGGGAGGATAGAGCAGTCCCTTAAGCTGCCAGAAGGTGGTGCTTGTGTGTAGGTTGGTGTTCTCTTTCCAGCTTTGTGTCTGGGGCTTCCCTTTCTTATCAGGTAGAGGAAAACAGTTAGGTACTGTCTCAAGTCTTCTCAGAACTATGGAACCAACAGGTGATCAGTGAGATAGGAGGGAAAAGAACAGAAGGAGGTGGCAGCAGTAGTGTAGAGTGCTGCTCCTTCCTGTACCAGTTCCCATCTGATGCCCCAGGTGGGCGGATGGCTCCTGCTGTGAAATCCTGGCCATCCCACCTGCTGGAGAGAAACTGTTAATCCTTTAATGTGTGTGCACTTGGGCTTCCCTGGGTTCAGTGGTAGAGAATCTGCATGCCAATGCAGAAGACACAGGTTCGATCTCTGGGTCAGGAAGATCCCCTGGAGGAGGAAATGGCAACCCACTGCAGTATTCTTGCCTGGAGAATCCCATGGACAGAGGAGCCTGGCGGGCTACAGTCTATGGTGTGGCAAGGAGTCAGCCACCACCTAGTGACTAAACAACAACAAATTTGTGTGCCTTAAGTGAAATGTACATTTTATTATTCAGATTACACAGTCCTCACTTTATTTTTATCATTCCTTTTCATCACCTCTGTTAGGAATATCTGCTCTGTCTTCCAACTTAGTTTTTTAAACGCTGGATTATTAAAAACACGTGTGCGTTTCCTACTGTTTTTGGATAGCAGTAGTTAAGCCAGTCCTTCAGAGAATAAGGGGCCCAGCCCAGGGTTTCCCACCCACGTTCATGTCATGGCATGTGTAGAACACAGCAGAGTTGATACAGCATGCTGGGCATGGAGGTTCATGGAGCAGGCTGCTGGAGCTGCCCTCCCCTGCCTGCCCTCCCGCAGTCACCTAGCTCACCTGTGACCTGTTCCAGGCTCTGCCGTGCTCACTGTCTGAGTGAGCTGCATGTGACCTTGGGGAGTTACAGATACTACCAAGTTAAGCGATTGTATTTTTCCTTGACCTGGAGATCTGTTAAAATGCTTTTAAAGAGAAAATGTGGGAAGACTAAAAAGAGAACATATTCTCAGTTACATTTATATATAATTCTAGAAAACGCAAACTAATCTGTATTGAAAGAAAGTGGATCAGTGATTGCATGGAGTTAGGGATGGTGTTGAGGAGAGGTGGGGAGAACAGATTACCAAAAGGTATAAAGAAACTTCTGGGCGTGATAGATACATGTACCATCTTGATTGTGGTATTGACTCAGGGGTGTATTCATGATGTCAGAAATACCAAATTTAGGGAGTTCCATGGTGGCCTGATAGTTAGGATTCCAGGCTCTTACTGCTGTGGCCTGGATTCAATTCCTGGTCAGGAAACAGTTCCCGCAAAACACCAGTCAGGTTCCCCTCCCCCCCACCCCAGATCAAATTTACATTTTATTTTTTTTTCAAATTTACATTTTAAGCACGTGCAGTTTGTTGTGTGTCAGTCTTGGCTCCATAAAGCTAAAATAAAGCAGATTTTAAAAAAATAAGTGGGAACCTTTGATTGCCTCAAGATCCTTCAGCAGTTATCAAAAAACCCTTCTCTGTTTTTGTCCAAGATGCAATACAGTGAAGATCTCTTCAGTCAGTTGTTTATATTGGCAATGAAATTATATGAATGAGCTTAATTAAAGAGAAGTTATAGAGATGAAATATTACATCTACACTTTTGGGGTTAATCAGTGGTTTTCAATTTATGTGAAACACAGTGTGTCCCCAGATAATTCCAGAAGCTTGGATAATGATACCCTAAACTCTGTAAATTGCCCGTTTGTTCCTCTGGCTCGAAGTAGCTTTAATCACCATGTCCTTATTCTCTGGCTTGGCATGTGACTTTGAAGCACCAAGAAAAAGGTGCAGGTCTGTGGGCTTTGCCTGAACCAAGGCCATAGACCGCTCTCAGCTTGAAGGCCCTCCTGTGGGGTTGCATCCTTGGCCAGAGTAGTGGCTGTGTGTGCCAGGGAGTGAATGTGGTACCACTGACCCCTCCTTGTCCTTAGGCAGGGACAGGCCCATGACACACACACCTCAGGATCTCTCAAAAGTGAACGTCCGCAAGAGTGAGGATGACGAAGAGATGCAGGTGGTGCTGGGCAGGTGCAGCCTCACTCTTTACCAGGGACACACCTCCTCTGTGTGGAAACAACATGTTTTTGTGTAGATCAAGTCGTTTTAACTATTTCTAATGAGAAAGCTGGGGAGTTTTATAAGTTATAACCTATTTCTAGTGGTTGCCTCTGTTGAATTAACACAGTTCAACTATCCTAATATTTTGAAAATGTAAAACATATAAGAAAATCGTTGGGAATTCCCTGGTGGTCCCATGGCTGGGACTCAGCGCTTTCACTGCCATGACCTGGGTTCAATCCCTGACTGGGGAACTAAGATCCTGCAAGCCTCCCTGTGTGGACCAAAAAAAAAAAAGAGTGTTTGCTTTTTGTTTTCATAGTAGGAACTACTGAAGCCTTAGATTTTTAAAAACCTGTTTAATTGTTAAGAGCTGGATACAGCTGAAGATGACCAGGGCAGTATCTTAGCTGCTCAGACTGAATATGTCAGAATTGAGATTTTTGCATCAGTACCCCTAAATCCCTAATACTGCAATTAAGTCAGATGCAGTTAGGAAGTTTGTCACAACTCTTAAGGTTTTGTGCTTATCACTCCCTCTTTCGCCTTCTAAAGCTGGCTTGTGCATTTTTTATTGTGTGGATGCGTGTGTAATTTTCTCCTTCTTCACCTGTAGTTGTGAAGGATTTTCAAGACTATGTCGAGCCTGAGGAAGGTTGTCAAGGTTCCCCACAGAGAAGAGGGCCTCTGACCTCAGGTCCTGATGAAGAAAATGTTGCCCTGCCTCTCGGTGACAGCATGCTGACTCATAACCTCGGGATCCCAGTGTTGGTGGTGTGCACAAAGGTGGGAGCTGTAAGCCTGGCTGGGTTTGATCAGTGAACACTCCCCATCTGTAACAAACTTTGAGAGGCCCTAATTAGGTGTCTTCCCAAGGGGATGTTGGGCTAATTCAGGATTCATTAAGGTACACTGAATATATTAGTATAGAAAATATCGTCATTTTACCTTGTTGCTAGAAATGTGACATTTACTTATAGCTTGAGTTAATCTCCTCATGGAGCACTGTCAACTTTATTGAGGGACTCAGATTCAGAACTGAAAGTAGTTTTCTTAAGGCTGTGTGAACCAGTTCGTTTAGATCAAACTAGTGGTGCAAAAGGAACACAGAAGAGCAGAATTCTTTTGGCCTTTAGTCTCTAAAGTCTATCGGGCTTGTTTTCAGAAAGGAACATAGCAACCCTCGAAAAAGAAGAAAGGGGATTCGGGGTTTGTAAGATAATGAGGTGGGAATAGAAATTAAGGGTAGTCATAGAGACATAAAGTTGTGTCTCTTAGAAATGAAAAGGAAATAGCTGTAAAAACACTCTGGGTTTCAGACGTTCTGTGATCTTAGTCGGAGCCGGTAGGTTGCCTGGCTCCAAGCACAGCATGAGCTGTTCACACCATACTCTGAGAATGGAGCCCTTGGAGTGTGCGGCGCACGGTCACCTGCCTGTTTCCTGATGTGACCTTGTTTGAGTCCTAGAACAACTGTGAGATGATCAGGGCTGTTTTATCCCACTTTACAGATGTGGAAGCTAAGGCCCAGGATGAAGGGGGGAATCTCCAGTTGCTTTTCACTCTTGTCTGTTTAGTTAATTAATGCTTGGACTCTGGGCTGTGGCTTCCTTCTTTGAAGCTGTGATAATTTTATTTCTGAAGCAGCCAGTGGTCCTCACCTCAGCAGGCAGAGAGACAGAAAGGTGACTGCCTTCTCTTTCTATCTTCCCTGCAGTGTGATGCAGTGAGTGTCCTGGAGAAGGAGCATGATTACAGGGACGAACACTTTGACTTCATCCAGTCACACCTACGGAGGTTCTGCCTTCAGTGTATCCTTGGGGCGCTGAGCTGGGGCCCAGGGGCACAGGCTTCCCTCTGTGTGTTGATCCAGTCTTGCTCCAGATGGGGCATCTTCAAAGAGATGAAATACTTCCTGAACCCAGAATAGCCTCATGCTGGGATGAAAGTGTATACATGTTTTTACTTTTTAAAATTTAACAGTGTTGGTATTTGAGACTTAATTTCTGCCTATTTTTGATTGCTTTCTATTTTTTTTTTTTGTTACTTTCTATTTTTAATGGTGTACATGTGATAGGCTTTCATATTAAGAAGAAAGCTGATACGTGATAATTTTATTACAAATTATCTTTCTTGTATCTTGGAAATCTTTCTAAACTTCACTTTTTTTTTGTTTTTAGAAAAGGTTAATTACCCAAATGACAGTGTTTTAGATGCTTCAGGGTTTCCTGTATGTTTATGTTTTATCCTGTCAATGAGAGAGATGCTTTGTCAGCAGTCTTTTGAGTCTTATTTCTGTGAAAATCCAGTAGCCCCACGTCCTGGGCTGGGGAGGGTAAGGATGGGTTCCGCTGCTTCCTTCGGGCCCTTCGCCTTGTCCGGCTCAGTGCTGAGGGCAGTGACATGGTGGTACCCGTCTCCCTTACGCTTAATGGCACACTTGATCACATGTGGGCATCTGTCTGGGAAAGAGCCTGTGTGCCTTGGCGGTGCTGAGGGTTTTCCCAGGCTAGCCTTAGAACCAGTAACTTGACTGCTTGGGACACAGCCTAATGGGTCAGAAGATGGCGGTTTACATGTTTTGAAAAAAAGACCTATGTGGCCCACTATCATCGACATGCACTATGCTTTTGACTTACTTCCTCTGCTACTGTTCCCTTTTTCGTTGTTAAAATTTTAACACTTTTTGTTAATCGTATATTGATCAAAAACTGAGCAACCTGTGATTAATACTTTGCAGATTGTTCTTGTATGTGTTTGTTTTTGTCTCCTCCTGCAGTGAATTTGTTTTCCTTAAGCAGATTGATTTAGATGGAGCGGCTTTGATATACACATCAGTGAAGGAAGAGAAGAACCTCGACTTGTTGTATAAGTACATTGTTCATAAAACATATGGTTTCCACTTTACCACGCCTGCCTTAGTTGTGGAAAAGGAAGCAGTTTTTATGTGAGTTCTTTATAGGTGATGCGTGTGTGTGTGTGTGTGTGTAGCAGAGTTTTATTATAGTGAAAAAGGGACAGAAGAAGCTTTTGACAGACATCTGAAGAGGGCAGAGAGTGGTGCTTTTGAACGCTTCTCTTTGTGGTACATTTGCTCTTGACATTTTATCCTTCCAAGTGAGGTGCCTCTGTTTCTCTCTCATACAGCCAGCTTGCTTGGCAAAGTTCTTGGAGTTGGACCTCCTAGGGCATAGATACACCCAACCTTACCTCTCCGCTCCTTTCCAGATTACTTGTCATTGCCTCCCGTCTGAAGGAAGTGGATGGAGTGAGGTCAGGTGTGCTGCCTCTCTTCATTGAAAGCAAGTTGACAGAACATTTTTGCCACTTACTGTCAACTCTGATAAAATACTGGCTGAGCAAAGGAGTGCCAGCATAGGGAATTGGCACTTTGGGGATCCTGGACATTTTCTGTTGCAACGTCTGGTTTACTGGCATCTGTTGGCAGGATGACTGCCTGCAGTCTCCCTGGCACCTCATCAGCTTGGGCTTTGGCTATACTGAATGCCTGTTGTGTTTCTGGCTTTTCACACTTGGGAGCCACTGGGGCCAACTATCCTGGGCAGAGACTTGGAACCTGTGTCATTTTCTCACTAGAGAATGAGAAGTATGGTGGATGCATAAATAAATGTTGGAGGTGTGGTCTCTGAGAGGACTTGTGCGTTTTTAGGCTTAGATGTCCTCTTGACTTAAAAAAGAATGGCAGTTCATCCAGCAAACACTGAGCACCTCCTAGGCGCGTTTTTTTTTGCTGAGGACACAGAAATGAATGAGATGTGGTCCCTGTATGTGGCCTGTAAGAGACACAGCGGAGGGGCGATAGGTCACTGGTGGGATAGGAGAGGCAGTGCCACGGGGAGAGCAGAGGAGAGACGCCAGGAGGGTGAGTGGTGTGTGCAGGCCAGAAGGAATGGAAGGGCAGGAGGGACAGTGGGGGAGACGACTGAAGGTGTGGAAGCCCAGAGTGCTCAGGGCACCGAACAGGCTGTCTGCCTGACATTTAGGGAGAGCTTCACTCGGGAGATTCCCAGACAGCACTTAGAGACGTGGACTGATATCAGAGAACCGTTGTCCAGAGCAGTCAGGCTGGCACCAAAGCCACAGGCGCGCAGTGAGTGGTATGCTTTTGGGAGCCAGTCAATACCCAAGTCACTTAAGATCTCAGGAGGAGGAGACACAGGGAGACTGGTCGTGTTAGGGCAGTCTGGAGTGGAGAAGAAGCTCAGAGCTTCTGAGGGTGACATAGGTCATGGCAGTGTCTTTGGCACCTAGGGTACTGTTGGTCGTTGCCCATTGAGGAGCTGGTGAAGTCAGCAAAGCCATTTGTGGGGAGCACCCTGACTAAGCACCTCCTTGGTTATAGAGCTGTAGAACTAGAGTTGGATGGAGAATGAGAAGCCTAGAGAAAAGTTTGTAATGCAGGGCATTTTACAGTTGCTCCTTACCTTAGGCTGCAGCTTCACTTAATGGAAGCTGGGTGCCATCCTGCCCTGCGATGTTGAGCTGGGCAGCACCCATTTAGGACCCTCAAAAACGCCTGTGTTCCTCTGTTTTGAGGCCCAGGGAAGTGCAGATCCTACCATTCCCCTTTGCTCCAGGATACGTATTCACACATCGTAAAATTAGTCCAGCCATAAAAAAACCATTGTCAGAAAGAAGAGATTTCTGATGACTCACGGGGGTCTCCGTGCTAGAGTCCAAGAGAAACAGTCTCACCTTGAGCTCTCTGTTGCTCTGTATTCTCCCCTCTGTCAGAACAGGGCCCCGCAGTGTCCTAGTTCTTCTGGGCGGAGTTGTGGGAAAGCTCTGAACACTTGCTGTGGGTCAGTCAGCATGTACAGTCAGATCTTCTGCTGGTTCCTTAGGCCTTGGCCCTGTGACCTCAGTATGGAGCTGGACCTGCAGTGAATATTGGCTTCTCTGCCAGAGGCTACCAGCCAGCCTAGCAACTGTGTATCAGAACTTGGGGGAAAAGGGTATCAGCTGGGGTCCTCTAACCCGGAGTATGCGGGTGTTCTCTAATTCAGTCTAAGGAGAAGCAAGTCAGCCTCTGTCTCTTTGCCTTTAGACCCGCAGGCTGGGACAATGAAAAGAAAATAGCTATTTTACATGAAAATTTCACAACTGTTAAGCCAGAAGATGCATATGAAGACTTTATTGTGAAACCTCCTGTGAGAAAGGTACCCGAATCAATCATTTTAAGAGTTGTAGGTGTTTTTGGGTTTTTTTTTAATGTATAAAGATACAAGTCTTACACATTGAACCACTTAGGGAGTAAAAAATAGATAATAATCCAAGGGCCTTTAAAAAGGCTTTAGATGAAATCTAGTGTTATGTAAATGGCTCTGGGTGGTGCGGCATGAGGGATGGAGTGCCTCCACTGCCTCTGGGTTACTGTTCGTAGATGCCCTTTGCTCCTGAGATCACCTGCAGACCCTGAGCTGGAAGGTATTGTTTAGAACCTGCCAGACTTAAAATATCATTTGCCCACATGCCAAAGCTGGCCTTGAAACAGGGTCTTTGCTAGGCTAGAAAAACCCACCTCTGCAGAGACTCCCAAAACCCATGTTGAGACATGAACCCAAGATTCTCCTTTCAGTGTGAATTTTGACAAGTAGTTGAGGTGTTCTTGCCTGTGACTGCAAATGAGCGTGTCGCTTCACTTCACAGCTGGTCCACGACAAAGAGTTGGCAGCGGAGGATGAACAGGTGTTTCTAATGAAGCAACAGGTAAGAAGAGCAGTGAGGCTGGAGCAGAGGCTTTCTCGTGAGTGGAAGGCCAGCTCCCTGGGGCAAGGTTAGGGGATACCACAAAGAGCCTGCAGCAACAAAGGCGTTGTTAACCAGTTCTCGTCATTCCCTCTCGTTTGTCAGATCAGTACAAGGTACCTGCCTTGCAGATTCTCTTACAGCAGTAGGCTTACTGCCTTATTAAGTGCCTCTTCTTTTTTGGGGTTTTTTTGGGCTGTGCTGAGTGGCATGCGGGATCTTAGCTCTCTCACCAGGATTTGAACCTGTGCACTCTGCATTGGGAGCTCAGAGTCTTAACCACTGGACCACCAGGAAAGTCCCTTAAGTACCTGTTGTCTGTAAATGTACATTTTCTGACATAGCGTTTTCCATGTTAACAGTTTACCAAATGCCCTGACCTCACTTCCATTTTGTCACATAGCCCCCACACAGCCCTGTGCGTGAAGGAGGTGAGCCAATACACACACTTTGTAGGTGAAGGGAGTAAAGCCAAGCTGATTGGTTCAGATTGCAGACCCAGTCCCACTTCTGTGTTTCACTGAGACTGTTGTTAGACCCCATGGTGCAGGCAGGTCAGCAGAGGGAATTGATAGTTCTTCTGCCAGCTTTTCCTCTCTTCTGTGCTCTCTTTACTTCTTTAGCTTAAAAACTGGTTCCTGGAAGTATTTTTTTCCCCACCATCTATCAAATTGCTCGATTAAACTGTTTGCATTTATAGTGTAGACCCTATGACTTGCGTGTTGTTAATGGTGCCCTCTAGTGGAATACTCAGGTGTTTCTCCAGACCCGCGCACTCTGCAGGCGTGTGTTAATGGCCGGCGTGTCCCTCTCTTGCAGTCACTCCTTGCCAAGCAGCCAGCCACACCCACTAGAGCCTCCGTAAGTACCTTAAATTAAGCTGAAGGTCAAGGGCCAGTGTCATGGGTGTCCAAGCTTTGTGCCATTATTTGTGAGAACTTTTTGTGTGGGCTTTTATATTTTCAGAGGGAATGTTGTCCCCCTAAAAGCCCAGGGCCAGAAACATGGTGGAAAATCAGAAAATGTCTGATGAAGGAATACAGAGCTCTGGGCATTAGAGTGAACAGGCTTTGTTATCTTGATATTTCTCTCAGGAGAAACTGGGATCTAAAAAGAAACTGAGCTGAACACAAGCTCCCATTTCTGCCACCTGTCTCCCTAGACTGTGAAAATACCCCGCAGAGGCATGTCCTTGTTTTTGGAATATGTATTTTCTGTTATTTTGATGCCTGTGTGTGACTCAACCTGGTTTTGGACTTAGGAATCCCCTGCAAGAGGACCCTCCGGCTCTCCGAGAACCCAGGGCCGGGGGGGGCCAGCCAGCGTGCCCAGCGCCTCCCCAGGCACGTCAGTAAAGAAGCCAGACCCGAACATCAAAAGTATGTGTCCTGTCTCCTTGGAGAGTCCTTGGCCCTTTCCTGCTTTAGGGGCTGAGTTGGTGGGTTTGGTAGGTGGAATCTTAAGGCAGCTGAGCTGTTTTCTTCCCCACAAGGGTTGTTTTGCACTTCCTGTCTTAGAGTGAGGGAGCTCATGGGTTGGCAGAAACCAAGGCCTGTTCCTTCACTGGAACTGGTGGCCCCTCACGCCTGGCTTTGTAAAGGCCTTGGTGAGGCCTCTCTGTATTTAGGGAAGAATACAGCATAAGAAGTCATTTTAAAATGTATATTTTGAATCCTTGGTTTTGTTTCTTAATAGGTTTATATTTTTACCAATTATGAATTGTCACTTCTTTTGTCAAGCTCAGTCACTTACTAGTTTGGCCCTCATCCCAGTGACTTAATAAATATCCTAAGATACTGGCTTTAGTAAAATGCTCAAATTGTATTTAGTTCTTACATGTTTGGTGCCTGTATTCTGAATGAGAGTTTTTTCACAGCACCTTTGGAATGTCATGGACTTATAAAACTTCTGCTTCATGGACAGGGAGATGATTTGGAGTACAGGTTCCCTGGTGAGAAATAGAAACCAGTTTCACTTAATTATGCTAACATGTAATCAGCCTTAGCAGTAGCTGTATATAAGGCATAATAGTGAGGGAATGTGCTCAGTATCAAAGATCATAACCACAAGTGGATAATTCTAAGCTGAAAAATAGTTTGGTGTTTAACTGAGTCATCCAGTTTGTATGATGCTTTTTTCTTTAATGTTTCCTTAGATAATGCAGCAAGTGAAGGGGTGTTGGCCAGCTTCTTCAATAGTCTATTGAGTAAAAAAACAGGCTCTCCTGGAAGTCCTGGTGCTGGTGGGGTGCAGAGCACTTCCAAGAAGTCAGGTACTGAAGGGCCCCAAAGATTTATGACCCTTGTGATGGAGGGGTGCTGGAAGGTGAGGTGGTAGACAGGAGTGTCTGCTTCCACTGACCTGCAGACCCTCGATGTTCTGAACAGGTGTTTCGTTTATACTGAGCAGTATACTTTACAACAGAATTACCGTATTAACATGCATGTTTCTTGGCACATTTGAGGTGGGTTGTTTGTTTGTTTGTTTGTTTGAGGTGGGTTTTATGTATATTTGGTTCTCAGGAACTGAGTACTGGGTGAATTGAGGTAGATCCTAAACATATGGCCCTGGTGTAGGAGCTCTGTCCGTTGGAAATGTGGTCTAGAGTGTACTGTTGACGTTCTGTTTACTTTTTAATTTTCTATGTTGCTTTATAAGGGTTTTGTTCACTCTACTGCCCCCCAGTCTCGGCATCAGCTGCCTGTGAAGTCTGCAGGCATTCTTCTCCGTGACGCTCCCTGTCTCGTCACACACAGACAGCTCTGTGACCGCCCACTCATCTGTTCTTCCAGATGGGCAGGTGGGGCAAGTCTATGACTTGGAGGTCTCTGAAACAAAAGAACCAACTTCCTCAAAGATTATGCATTTTCTCAGGAAGCTTGAGGCCATTTCAGAAGGGTTTTAATTTTCCATTAGCTATAAGAAATATTAATTAATACAGTGTTTTCCTTAATTGGTATTTTCTGATCAACGCCCTCCAGAAATCACTGTATCCTCAAGTCAGCCTGGGCCTTCAGGGGCTCTTGTGTTCTTGGAGACTCAGGAGTTGGTCTGGTGGCCCAGGCTATAAGCTGGTATTCCCTGGGAGGAAACAGGGGTCATTTCTAGGCCCCAGTTAGTATTCAATAATGTGTGCACCAACTTTGTGCAAAGTTGAAATTGTCAGCCTTAGTCTAATATTCTTATTGAAATATGGTGATTCCGGGATTCCATATGAGTCCACTGTATTAGAAACGAAACATAAACATCTGTCTGAGGCACAGAGAGTAGTTTGCTGCATGCCAGAAACTCAAATACCACCTCTCGGAAGATGGTGATGAGAGTGCATAGGGCTCAGAGGGTTTTCAGAAAGGCCTTTGTTTTTGGCACAAAGGCATCCCCAGGCAGGGGGCAGTAATGTAGTCCAGGAGCCCAGACCTGTGGCATTTGGAATAAAGAAGGGCTGAATTAGGGTCTGTCTCCTTATAATCAGTACAATGAAAAAAGACTTTTTTCATTCTTACTGGAATTATCACCAGAAATGATTATAGAAATCTGTATTATTTTAAATGTTCCTTTAAAAAAAAATTTTCTTTTTTCTGGTCTCTCATCATTGCTGCTTTTTTTTTTTTTTTTAAGGACAAAAGACTGTGTTGACAAATGTTCAGGAAGAACTGGATAGAATGACTCGAAAGCCAGACTCCATGGTAACAAACTCTTCAACAGAAAATGAAGCCTGATCCTCCTTAAAAAGTGCATATGTAAAATGACCAAATAACTATGTATATTGATCTTCTCTAAGACCAGGATTTTTCTGATATGGCACATGCTATCAGTTTTTGGGGGCAGGGGAGATGAACTTAAAAAAAAAAACTTCAGTGGCTGTCCGAGTATGAAATGCACCTTTAGGAAGGTTGTGTGTCAGACCCCTTTGTGATGGATAACCCTTGGACTCTCAGGCGTGTGGCTCTCTTTTGGGCAGCAAGTGCAGCTGGGCCTCTTGTGGAAGGCAAGATAGATGGAGAGAAAGAGGGCCCACTTTCTTTTAGGGTGGAGCCAATGAGACCGGGAAGTCATTGATCAGATGATGGCTAGTCCAACCAGTTGCATGTTAACAGATTCACTCCTTCATGGGAAGCAGATTAAGTAGCAGAAAGTCCAGGGAAGAGAAAGACTGGAAGGAAGAATGAGAAAAGTGTTGGGGAAGCTGAACGTTGCAGGAGGCGGAGGAGGAGGTGAGCAATGTTAGTAAATACCGTGTGTTCAGTAGAAGTCAAATCATTTTTAAAACTTAAAAATCAGAAGCGTTTCCAAACTAAACACTAAGCAAAATAGGAATTGGACTTGTTCTGAATGCATCTTTACTTTACAGAAGATGTGTTGGTGTGGGGATGCCTGAGTCAGGTAGAGCTGATGTGGGGGTGGGGAAGATGCAGCTGCCCAGGGCTCATGTGCGTGGCTCAGGCCATGTCCTCGTGGGAGATGTTGGGCTCCACACATGTGCATCGTGGGGCAGTCAGTCACTGTGGGGCGTGTTTAAAGTCAGCAGTTACAACATTAATTTACCTTGAATTGTGTGTTCTGAATAGCTTCTGCTTTGTCATTTTTAATTTTTTTTACTATCACAGGCTGGCCTATTAGAGAATGGGTGACCAACCTCTCATTTTACCATAATGCAGTGTGCTACAGAAAGTATGAGGGAGGTTTTAATGTAATTGCACTCTGATTAATTGGCTCACACTGTCCCTGCCTTAAGGTCATTGGAAACTTTCATGGAGTTCCAGTGATGCAAAAGGGTTTTGTCCTAGCTCCCTGGTCTGATCAGTGCTATCAGATAAACAAATTAGTATGAATGTTTTGTACTGAGGATGGAAATGATGCATTTCTCTTGTTTTATGTCTTTCATAAACTAGCATTTTTTTTTCTTATGGAAATAAGTGTTTCAGGTGTTTCCATTTAGGGCAAATTCATGCACATTGTCGTGTCACATCATCCTGGAAGTGACTTCTGTGGATTTAAAACAGCACTTTTAATTTTATACATGACACAGAACATTGAAATGCAAACACTACCATTAATTTAATGTATAAAACCTTTGTTGTCAAACCAAGGGAAAAACCACAGTTCACTTCTGTGGAGTTTACTTTTTTTATATGAATGTTTGTTGTACTGTTTCTGAGCATAACTTCCCTAATATTATTACTTTTACATACCAGATTTGACTGACCACTAACTGTACTGGGTATAACTTAATATCCTGTGTTACATAACAAGACTCTTAAGACTGTCTTGAATTGCTTTTTTGTAAAGGTCTGAACACTGTTAAGGAGAAAGCTGAGTACTTACTTACCTTTCTGACAAACATAAAAATATGTTTCTCGTGCCAGTTTTATTGTTGAAAATACACTTTCCCCCCCCCTTTTTTAATTGTTTTTTTTATTTTTATTTTTTAATGTATTGTGGCTTCCAGTTACCAGATTGTCCAGGTGATGACAGTAAACTGACTTGGAATGATAGTTGTGATATAATGACCAATAGATGCCAAACAGCTTGCGGCCACATGAATGATGGGGTCGCTTTATCCCTCTCTAGCATCTGGCAGGGGTGGGCTGGGGGCACAAAATAAGTGACCCCAGAAATAAAACAAAATTCTTTGAAAGGCCACATATCCAGGAGGGATACAGTGTGATTTAAAATTTTAATGCAAGACTTTACTTTTATCACTTAAACTGATAAGCACTTTTTGTGTCAGTATAAAATGTACTAAAACTGAAGAAATGCCAAGACACCTGTCTTGTGAAGGAGGATTTCTTGGCAATCACTTTTAGTTTCCTGGGACAAGTGGCTACTCCTAGGATCAGAAGAAGCTGATGTATAGTGTCATGTGCTCAGTGGTTGCCAAAGTCTACCAACTTTGGGGAGCTGCAGGGTTCTTTTTAGGGGGGGTGGGAGGAGGGGGCATATTTTTTGTTATTTTGGGGGTCTTCAAGCATTGGAACCAAAGGCCAAACAATAAATAGCCTTTACTTTTTAAAGTAAAATTCATTTTATTTGCAGAATACACTTGTATGGTAGACTGTTAAAGATAATTTTATGACTATTTATATACATTGTAGTGGCTACATCTGCTGCAGTTTGTCTTCAAAATGGAAAAATCAAAGAAACAAGCCCAACCTTAAAGATATGGCCATGATAAAGGCCATGAATTGGTCTTTCCTAAAAATGCAACGGGTATGCTGCTAGAATTATTTAATTTCATTTGCACTTTTTTTTTTTTGGATTGGCATTTTTAAACCAGTATTTAAACTGAAGATGTGTTTTATTAGTTAATTGAAAGTGACTGCTCTGTACATCATGACCTTAACAATGTTGATGCTGTAAGTGAAAGTTCACTGTTGTCTCTATACTAAGTTTATTGGTGTTTTTAACTTAAAAATTAGGACTGCAGATATATTCCCCAACCAGCCTTAGTCCAGGGGTGTGACTCTATCTGGATGCAGTATGCAGTCATGTGGAACCTTGCTTTCTAGTGCTGAAAAGAAGATGTCTCTAATTACTGGCTTCAATAAACACGAATCCAGACTGCTTACAATTTTTGGTGACTTTATTTATGATAAATCATCCCGCTGGAGATACATTGAGTTGTCCACTAGTCATATATGGGGTGTCTGCCATGTAGCTAAAAATGTATACATCTCTCACTTGAAAATACCAGAAATTCTATTAAAGAACATTTTAAAGCCATATTCTGAGGTATGTGGAATTCCAGGCTGTGGGTAAAGTGCAAGGGTTGTGAGTTGTCCAGCATAGTTTCTTGCCTCTTAGGTAAAGTTTTGATTGTCAGAATTGGGCTGAGAAATTTTCACTTAACTTTTTTAGAAACCTTGAGGATTCATAGAGGAATTTCAGAGCAATTATACCATAATGTTTCTCACTTACTGAAATGGGCAACAGTAAAGTATGTTTAAGAAAATGAGATACTTTATATTAGAGATGAATTGTGTTTCTGATTATTACACTTTTAAGCATGTTGAATTTTCTGTTCTTTTAAAGCTGATTACAGAAAATTTCTCGCCAACTTTTTATTTTGAAAAAAATTTTCAACAGAGAAGTTGAAAGAGAGGAATCTATTGAATACCTGTGTTCTTTTACATAGATTCACCAGTAATTGACTTATTGCCATATTTTTTTCTCTTTCTCCCTCTTCCTCTCTCCTTCCTTCGTTATATCTATCTCACTTTTTTTCCCCCCCAAGCCATTTAAAATCAGTTTTAAACACCAGGACATTTCACCCCTAAATATATTAGCTGGATCCAGGCCAGTTGTCTTGTGAGAATATCCCAAAGTCTGGATTTGTCTTAGTGTTTCCTCATGATTTCATTTAGGTTAAACAGTTTTTGTAAGAACGCTACATGAGTGAAGTCGAATGTGCTCCACTATGGCACACACATTATTTCTGTGTTGGTGATGCTTTGGTGAAGGTATGTCCTCCATGTCTGTCAAACTGGGGTGATACCCTTGAAGATCTTGGCTCTCAGCCACCTTTTACACATCATTTGTAGCATCCACTGGTGATCCTTTCCTTAATCAGTTACCACATGAGAAGTTCTTAAATGGTAATTTTCTTATCCCATCATCCCCTGCCTGTATCACCTGGCATTCATCCATAAAAAAGTTTTCGTCCCTCTACTCTTCTTGTTTTCACTATGAATTTAGTTTTGTTTTTTTAATTCGAACTGTTGTAATCTAATAGCTCGCTCTTTTTGATGCTCAGATCGCTCCAGATTTGATGAGTGGGAGCTTCTTCAACCAGCTGTGTCCTTTTTTCCCTTTTATTGAGATAAAATTCATCATTTTAGAATCAGGGGGTTTTAGTATGTATATTCATTATATTGTGCACCTATTGACATCATCAAACTTAATACCCTAAAAAGGAACTCCATGCCTGCTAGTCCCACTTCCTTCTCCCCATTCCTAGCAACCACAGATCTAACTACGGATTTGCCTATCCTGGATATTTTACATAGTTGGACTCTTTCAACATGTGGCCTTTTTGTATCTGGTTTATTTCATTCTAGCATGTTATTCTAAGTTCATCCATGTTGTAACACTGTATCATTCCTTTTATGACTGAATGATGTCCCATTACGTGGAAGACCATATTTTATCCATTCATAAGTTGATGCACATTTGGGTTATTTCAAGTTGTTGGTTATTATGAATAAGGCTACTGTGAAGATTGATGTGTGAGTTTTTATGTAAGCATATGTTCTTTAGGCAGAGACTTACAAGTGGAAGGGCTAAATTGGTAATTCTGTTTTAGCAGAGAATCCCCAAACTTTTCCATAGCAACTGAACCACTTTATATTCCTGCTATCAGTGTATAATGTTCTTTCTCTGTATCTTGGCCAAGACTTGCTTTCTGGGAGTTTTTTGTTTGGTTTGACTATAGTTTCTCCTGGTGAGTGAAATGGTATCTCAATGACTAATGATTTTGAGCATCTTTTCATTTGCTTATTTGTTGGCCATTTACATAGCCTCTTAGGAGAGGTATCTGTTCAAATCCTTTGCCCACTTTAAAAGTATTTGTCTTACTGTTGAATGGTAAGAGTTCTTTATATATTCTGGATAGTAGACTCTCCCAGATAGAGCTGTGTCCTTTTGACTCCATCATTGTTCTTTGAGCATTTCTCTAGTTTCTGCCACAAAAAGGTGTTCCAAGCTCACCTTGTATTTCCCC